GGAAATCATTATTATTATCTCAGGTTAATGCTTGCAAGACGAACAACAGCTTCCATCAATCACCGGACTATTGCGTTTAATGAAAATTTGGGTAAAGTTGTCAGACATGTAAATAAATGAAATGAACAACGCTAAGCCAATTTTTCTTCTCGTACTAATAAGAGATGTGTAAACTTTCCTTAATACCTTACAAAACAATAAAAAATTTAAATGATTTTTTATTTGTGATAGGCTTCTTTTGAAACTAATAAGCGAGACGTTAAATCATAAAAGCCAAAGAAAAAGGCACCACCTAAAGTTATCCATAAAACACGAGGTATAAATCCAGCAAATAAACTGAAAAAGGAAGCAAACTTTATAAAACAAATTTTGAGGTTTGAGTCGCTTACCCCTTAAAGCCTTTCTCCCTGAGAATAGAGGACAAAACTTGTGGTATAGTTAACTTAACAATCAAACTGTTTCGTTCGGCCAACATCACGCGTGTCTTAATCACATCTAATGGAGTAGTAAGGCCGGAAGAAATCCCACCAGCTATAGCGCCACACAGGGCCACCGAGAAAGGAGTTAATTCCAAGCCCGTAGCAGGGCTCCATTGCAATTTGAAGTATTCCCATAATGGGAACTGAATTAAACTAAATGGTATTTCTCGCATTATTGTCGATCCAAAACCTCTATAGAGACCTTGCCTTAAACCTTCATTTTTATACGCAGTCCATAATATTTGCAAACTGCTTTGTTGCTGCTTATGATTCGAAGCCTGTCGCCTTTGTTTGGCTATTTCAACAGGGACTCGCACAACGCAGGCTAGCTAAATAAATATACCGATTGGATTTCAAAAGAAAAACAAATGTCAACATGAGGCTAATCATCGTAATGGCATTTTTAGGACAAAACATGACATGCGTTACGTACCACTTCTGCACTTGAGGCGGACATCATGTGAATGTAAGGAGAATTCTTACTGCTCTGGGTTATACCACCTAGAAAAATCTTTAAATTTTCATAAGCAAAAAAAAACAGTGCCGCGGAAGGTGCGCTTCCGGCTGCTGCGGGCGCTAAACCTTTATAAATGCCACGGAAACCTCCAGCTCTCCAAAAACCCAATTCGCTTTGTAATCTGGTTTTCATTGTATCTATAGGAAATAAGACTACGTCTACTACCATTCCCGCCACTGCACCAGCTACTAACGCATTAAAGAAGTGATTTTTAGGTGTATTATAAAAGAACATTGTAGTTTTGCTCGGTTCTGCTGCTCCAGACGACATTTCACCTTCCATCTTGTGCCCTTTAAGCGATAATTCTCTTTTTCGATGTTGACTTAATTTTTCAAATAGTTTTACTTAACTTTGTAATCCCCTTGTCACCGTAACACATGTCTTCATTAAAGCAGAGATGTATTAAAAAAAAAATGTTTTTCAAAAAGACTGATTTTTTGGAAGAAATAGAATCGTAACTGTTTGTAATGAGTAAATATCACGATATAAAATCAGAAAAGATTACACACGACTAAAAGTGTTTAATTGTTGTCAAGTAATCAGAGAAATTTCGATAGAACGAACATTAATTCTCTAGCAAGAAATGCACTCGCAATGGCGATGTTGTACTTCGTTTTGATTTCTCACTAAACGATACAAATGTGAACAAATGGTATAAGTTATTCAATACGTAAGTTTCAGATCAAGAACCAGGTAGATTGGCTGTAATACTAAAAAAAAACTAAGAATGCTACGCTAATTAGACCCCAATTTCCTGAATGCTAGTGCAGGAGTGATTTAAATAGAACTATTTTCTGTTTTTATTTTTGTGATCAATAATAAAGTTATTGGTTGTTAGCTTCTTTGACGCTTAAAGCGCGTCCCTCAAGATAATGCAAATTTTGGTTGCAAGCACTATTGTAGCTATCGCTACTGCTAAATGTCACAAAACCATATCCCTTCGATATCGCTTGTTGATTGTCATATACTATGGCGGCTGAGGATACATGACCGAATTTAGAAAAATATAATTCCAGCTCTTTCTTTCCAACGGTCCATGGTAAATTGCCTACAAAAAGTTTATAAGTACGCCGAACATTCGACATGTCAGGAATATTGGTTGTGTAAACGCGCAGACGATTTCTCTTTGTGTCCACTTTTGATTAAGATCAAGTGGAGTTTCCGCCTTTCGAGCAAAGCTTTGACACAATCAGCACTGCTTTGCAAAAAGTATCTGGGATAGGAAAATTGATATAATGGCAATGATATTTCCGAAGATTGAAAGATAAAATATTTTAATACCTATTTGTGACAACGTTATTCAGCAAAAAGCGCCCAATAGCTGAATATTGTTGTTTTAATGAGCGGTATACAGGAGCTGTTGATTTGGCTAGCAGACAATAAGTGCTTAAAATCGATTGTGAACACCAATCATGCTGCTAAATACCTTGGAATATATCGTAAAAAATAAATACTTATGGCAGAAATATATTATGTGATTGTTTTTGGTATTGGTTTTTCCAATTTTCCAAGGGTTCTTGTCTTATTATGGGCAGTATTGGCGATGCCGTCTCCTTGTGTAGTTTTACCTGTTCCGACTATTCCCTCGCCTTTGTTGCAGCTGTTATCGGAGACAAATAAATTTGAATAATCTTCAAAATTGTGAAAGTGACGAATTCTATTTCTTATAGAAATTATTCAAATACCTGCTAATGGCAAGTTTGGTCAGAGTGCCGCAAAATGACGTCTAAAATTTTATTGGAAATACCTTGGTATTTAATTTGTAAACTATTCTTTAAAAAAACTTATAAAACAGCACAATGCTGCCAAAATGAAAATGTTTCAAATGTTTGAGGGAGCACTTTTTTATATGGGCGTTTAAAGCGCTCATCAGAATATATGCTTTTCCGTAAGTTTGTAAGGCATAGTGCAGTAAATACATTTTCTTTTATAAAGTGCTGTGTATTTCAATGCACTTAGACTACTTTATTTGTATGTAACAGTTTATATCGATTAAAAATTGCTTTACAATGTTTCGGGGATAATCACGTATAAAAAATGTAACTTCGCTCTTGTATTCAGCAGGACGAACACTAAGTTTCAATTGCGTGATTTGTGAAGGGTAAGTAAATTAATTTTTTTTTTTTTTGCTTTTTACTCCATTTGCAATTAATTCGTTAGAGGTTGTAATCAATTGTATATCAACAGTCTGTCATTTCATCTATGTCATATGTCGGTATGTTCGACAAAGCGCAAAGGAGCAATAAGTAATAAAAACTACTCACTCTGCTAGATCAATTACAAACCAAAGGCTTCGTTTGATTGACTAAAATACAGACGAAATATCCGCTAATAACTCTAGTGTTCTCTACGGCTAGGCTCTGTTAAATGCTATTCAGAAAATCTATACTTACATCTTCAGTCGCGGCGTACAACTAGAGAAGAAAACAAATATTTTTCTCTACATTTATACGAAAGTTTACTGAATTAAAATATTTCTACAAATATAAGAAATTGCAAAGGATATAACAATCTCCTTATCAATGTAAAGTGTTTTATCAACTTTCTACCTATGGGCACGAAATTTTTAAGAAATTATGATAGCGATCATACTTTTGCTGCCAATATGAATACTTGTGTACAAAAATATATTTATTTCACAATTAAATATTAACTCCCTCACTTATTCACGCATTCATGTATTCATACTAGCAACTAAGGAGATACCAACGAGATTTCCAAGAAAACTATGTGAATCTCAGATGGGTCACCTTGCTAACAAATGAAATTGTAAATAATACAAAATGCAGTTACCAGTCAATGTACTTATTAACAAAATTTGAGATATATTTAACAACTTTAGTAAACAAAATTTGATATATACTTAATAATTTGAATATACTTAATTTGATATATATATATATATATACATATATAAAATATGGGTGCGTCTTTTTTTATTTCCCAATTTTTTATCTAATTTTTTGTGAAAGATTTTGCTTAATTTCTCGATTTTTCAATTCGAATCACTTCTTTTTGTGCTTGCCAAATTTCTTTTGTTTCACAGAAACCCGTTAACTGTTTTTTTCCTTTACACCGTTTATAAAAAAAGTACCATGTGTGGAGAATGAAGGGAGCACAGAGTTGCTTTTAATAAATAAGAAGAATGATGAAAAAAAGCAGTAACAAAATAATTAAAAAATGGCAAACATACAAAGAGAAAAATGTTCCCACTATTAATTATCAGACACGTTGATATCTGGTTGCTTTGTTTACCAAAATAATGGGCAACTGCGAAGTCTTCATAATTACTTAACAAGGAATTCTCTCGAGTAATATAAATAGGATAACATATTTTTATTATAAATATTTTTATTATATATATTTTGAACTCTTTCAAAGTAAATACATTCAGGCGTGTACGATGCCATCGCTGTTGTATTTGTAATAATGAAAGATGGGACCAAGAGACTCTTAAAAATAATTTATTTTCAATCAGATTTCTGTTGTTACGACCGCACGGTGCATACCAAAAATACTATCCTCATCCCTGCAAATTTTGCTTTCAAACTAGTAAATATTAAGAATGGCAATATTGACAACGTGAAAAATGTCAAATGACACTAATTATAAGAGCAAAGACTTCTAAACATTTACTAAAGCATTTTCTGAATCAGGGACTTTTTTTTGTAATTACTTCACTAAAATAATAAAATATGTAAGCGAAAAATAAAAATAGCTACAATTTTTACATCTTTGTATATTATTATTTTGCTATGTTCATTTAAATTTGGAATTTCAGGGCATTGGTAAAGCCAAAATCTGAACTGACGCCGGAAGAATTAGCGCGCCAAGAGGAGGAAGAATTTAATACGGGGCCGCTCTCTGTTTTAACGCAGTCAGTGAAAAATAATACACAAGTTTTAATAAATTGTCGCAATAATAAAAAATTGTTGGGGCGGGTTAAGGCTTTTGATCGCCACTGTAATATGGTACTCGAAAATGTTAAAGAGATGTGGACTGAACTACCGCGCACAGGTAAAGGCAAAAAGAAAGTGAAACCGGTGAACAAGGATCGTTTTATATCGAAGATGTTCTTACGCGGAGATTCGGTAATATTGGTACTGCGCAATCCTTTAGCAACAGCTGCGGGTAAATAAAACCACCGATGCGAGTAAATGCAGTATGTAATCCCGAGCATCTAACAGTGGAAACCAACTATCAAGCCGTTTTAAATTGTACGCGAAGATGAAATTTATTAAAAAAGATGATAACAGTTGAGAGTTTCTAAAGTTTTTATTAAAGTGTATTAACGGTTGCTCTCCAATTAAAAGAAAGAAATTGCCATTTATAGGTAAGCCCAAGTTGTGTTTTTTGCAAGTGTAAATGCGCTGAAATAATCTGGCCGTTACCGGAATTACTAGACACATAAGTTTTGTTTTTTACTAATTTATGCGGTTGTTTATACAAAACGGTATGGACGCATAGCGGTGTCATCCAGTGTGTTTAGGTGGCACTGGGCCGATATAATCTACGACGACAACTATCTGATCGCAAGGTATGTTAGTGACGAGCCAATACCGGTAATTACGGAACCGCGGAGAAAAACGGCCAGTCGTCATCCCATTCAATTTGGAAAAAAATTCCGAGCCTAAGTTGTACTTTAGAGCTGATTTAACAGCGCGAAAATCCGGTCTCTGGCGGGTTAGATACATGCTTTTCATTGAATGCTATTTTTTGGGACTGTTTATAATGGCGGAGTTCGCGGATCGGAAGTCTTAATTGCGCACCTCTTCCAGCTTTTACGTTCTAGTCGTAGATTGCCTATGAATTAACAGAAAAACCTTGTTTGTAATTGTTTTCAAAATTGGAAAACTTCATACTGCTTCGATGTAATAATTGAAGGTCTTTTCCCACGTAAAAAGTTGTTTTTTAATTTAACTGTTGAAAAAGAATTGAAAAATCTCAACATAGAAAGCATCTTAAAACCAATCGGTGCGCAATTCGAATAAGTCGTCAGGTTCGATAAAAATATTGACTTAACAGAATTTTTGATTTGAAAAATAAAAAAAAGTTTTTCTGTCATATGCACGCTGAATAAAAAGTCAAACGAGCAGAAGACATCTGATAGGAAAGAGCGTTTAAACAAATCCTTTAAATTAATTTTTAACAAATAATTGTTTCGTCACGCAATGACTGACGAGGAAATTGATACAATTTTCTTATCTCATAAAGTTGTTCCAGATGTTGTACCAGCACCACCCAAGCAATTTTTATCAGTAAGTTGTAAAAAATTAAATTCATTTCTCTTAAATGTAGGTCTGTCAATGTGGTTAGGTTGAAGTCGTTTGTGGTTGCAAATTGTCATTTTCTAATATTCCGAATATTAATGAAAAAAAAAAATATATGAAAGAAAAATAATGCGTTGTTAAATAAAAGCATTCTTCTTTAGGTAAGTTACGCTGGCGGTATGAAAGTTGATAAAGGCGGCGAATTAACTCCAACTCAGGTGAAAACTCCACCAACTGTTTCGTGGGATGCGTCAGATAATACATTTTATACAATTATACTAACCGACCCTGATGCTCCCAGTCGCAAGAATCCAACAAATCGGGAATATCAACATTGGGTTGTCGCTAACATACCGGGAAACGCCGTCGAAAAAGGTGAAGTCATAACAGCCTACGTAGGCTCGGGCCCGCCAGAAGGAACCGGTTTACATCGTTACGTGTTTTTGCTGTACAAACAGCCGACGAAAATGAAATTTGACGAGGAGCGTATACCTAAGAACAGTGGCAGGGGGCGTGCCCGCTTTAGTGCGGCGAAATTTGCTAAGAAACATAAAATGAGCGAATTGGTGGCTGGTAATTTCTTTCAAGCTCAATGGGATGATTACGTACCGACTGTGCATAAACAATTGAAAGGCTAAGTTTTGAAATATTTCTTACTCGCATCTGCCTGTTAACTTGGTCAGTATTTTATGCAATTGACTGAATAAAAATTGAATGTGACTTTTAGTTTTGATTTTCATATGCTCTCCTTATCTACGCCTAACAATTCTTTAATTATAATCAATGAGTAGTCAACGTATTGAGCATTATAGACATTCCCCCCTCTAGGCTCACTTATATCATAATTTGTTGCAAAGTTTCGCATGGAAAAACATGCACGTCTTTCGATGCTGCTGCACGATGTGTATGCCTCAGAGAATTGCAAACATTTCGGTATAATAAAAAGACATAGCGGTGGAAGCCGCTACCTTTCGCCGGACTTGAACCTTGGTATTCGTACAAAACTTCTTCCTTTTGTAAATGATCGTTTGGTATATTAACTGCTAGCCAATCAAGCCATTCTCCCCAAGACTGATTCTCTCGACTAGGAGCATCTGGTTCCGTCATTATCAGGGTATAGTAGACACCTTTTTTTGCGTGCTAAGCTACTTTTGGTTGGCATTTCACTTGAGAAGGCATTAATTCAGGCTAATTATTGGCCGTAACCTCATTACCATATGTGATCCGAATAAAATTGTTTTATCAAGGAAGGGGAACCGTTTAGCAAATCAACTGGAAGTGTTTTTGAGGGATCGGAAAGTGCAGGAAAATATTAAGTATCATCATAAAACTACACAAACTCAATACAATAACAAAAATAATGAAGAGAGGACTGTAAAATTAAATGAACAAGTTTAGAGCAGAAAATTCGAATGTTTCAAAACCACTTATATAGAGAAAATACAATTAAAGCGGTCTCTGTTCTAAAGAAATCGTTCATCTGTTCTAATCAAATCAGTTTCGTTTCTCCTAAGATTGGCTGTAAATTTTGCGGTGTAGGTTTTCTTGAAACGAAAATCTCTATAAATTACATTATGGTCCAACGACCCACAACCTAAGCATTTGATTAGTTTGCAAGAGTTAATGGTGCAGGCCGGTGACTTACCGCAGTTCAAGCATTTGCCTTCGATGCTCTTGCAAAATTTGAAAATGTGGCCAAAGCGGCCGCAATTGAAACAAAGTTTAACAGCAGGGATAAAGTAGTCCACTAGGACAATACAGTAATTGAATTTAATGTTTTTGGTGATTAATTTTCCCTTGAAGGCAATTTTCATGCTGTTTGTAGGGATGAATATTTCCTTCTTAGGTAAATGAGAAAATCAGAAGTGTGGAAAATTCGTGCTCGGTAGGAACAACAGGTAAATTAAAATGTAAAGGGAACGTTACGCATATATCAATTTTTATGTCTACAAAATTGTTTAGAAGGGGCATCCATATGCACATGGTAGAAAGTGTGATTTCGACAAGGAAGATGGAAAAGCACATATTAAGTCATTAGGTCAAGCGCAGTATCCGTTTGATTTCGTATTGTTTTAGTTGCTTAGAGTGCGATGAATGGTGCGCGACGCACGAAGACGCTATACTCCGTTTATGAAGGAACAGAATTATTTATGCAGTCTGCTATGTGCGTGGATAGTATTTCATTTTTTGCTTGTCCATTATTTCGTTGTTTTTTTAAATATATCTAAAAGTTGGTATAATGTTTTCATTTCACTATCCAAGGAAGACATTAAATGAACTTTCCCATTAAATGTTAACAAGCAGAAATATAATTTAAAAGCTATATAAAGTTGGTCAGCTCGAGACACGTCCGTCTGTCCGTCATTTTTTTCGCAATAACGTTTGCTCAAGTGTGGACAGATGAAAATTCTGAATTGATCTGTAAAATTTAAGCAGCGCTGCACTCCTTTATAACTAAAAAATGGATTTAATCTTTTCACTCAGCGAATGTACTTTAGAGACTTGTTTCGAATATTTTGCTTTGTTGCCTTTGGCTACTTTAACATTGTTTGTAGTATGGACAACTTTCTCACTTTCTCTCATATATTCTCTTTGGATTTTCTATGCATGTAATTGTGAACTTTAGTTAAATGACGACATTATTCTTTCTGAGTTTTATTTACTAGACGAAATAAGGCTCAGTGATTTTATTGCTTAATGGGAAAAGCCAAATTTGACAATTAGAAAGTTTCCATTAACTTATTCCTGTCACGATCACTATTTCTCCAAAACGCATCAAGCACAGTTAGCTAGCTGGTAGTGTTCTTGTTTCGCTGACTTTTCGATTTTATTGACTATCTCTGGCTGTTCTGCATTTCCAAGTAGAGTTTATATCCATCAATTGAGAGTTTTGCATAGGAATTGATCGCATTAAGACGCCTTAAGGTAAACGTACTTTGCTTCGAATATTCAACCTCTTTGATAAGCCAAGGTTAAACTTTTTTTATCCATTTTTTATGGACTTGACGTGGAGATCAGATAGTGACCCTATATTTAGGAAGGAACGTAATTCTTACGACATTCTTCAGATGGTTTATTGACGAAGGACACTTGACTTGCAAAAGTGATTCACAACGTTATACATTAGTGGCTGAAAGAAGGAGATACCATCGCACCCCTCCTCTACGAAGTAGAATATCAAATAGAAATCACAAATGGGCAAATGGTATGGAAGATTTTCTTTTAATCGTACATTTTTCTTAGCTGTTAGTTAAAAACGCGCGTTGCATATCCAATTGTGTGCGCAAATGAACGCATTCTGCTGGCGCAAGTTAAATACCGTTTTCCAGTCATGCTTGACATCTACTATCAATCCATTATTGTGTATACATGATAATTTGCATCTTTAGATTTGTATTTTATAGTTCAACACGCGAGATTATATCACTGCTTTTGCTTTTGTAATATAATTACAACATTTGTATACAATACGTACATGCATGTGTGGGTGAACGACTTGGAAAAAACAATTTTTATTTAATGCGAGACTTTACATTCGAAATCCCCGTAATTATGTTGAATTTCAGATTTCCTTATATGACAGTTTCTAAATAATGCTGCAATGGTGGTGCATGTAAGGTGTGGTTGGTGGCTACATAGAGCCTTTAAAGACTAGTTTAGAGTCATCCATCAGCCCATTTTATGGTATTGTGTTGAACGCCTTTTTCACATGGGTTTTATAAATCCTTTCCACCAAGTACCTTTGCAATAATTTCGACTTTGAATTGAAAATATTTACTAGACTCATATTAGCATAGTGTAAGGCGTATATAAACGTGAAGTGTAAGTTCGTAACGAATGTTGTTCTAATCAATGATTTCAAATGTTCAAAATTAGCCTGTGGGAATTCAGATGTTTTCCCAGGCCGAAGCTTATTCCGTTGTTCAATAGTTCTTAGTTTTGTCCACGGCGCAATGCGCTTCTACCTTTTATGCCTACAATCAAATGGAAAAGTGGCTAAGAAACAAACTCAATCCAATGTCACGACAATCGAATCAAGTTTTAATAGGGGCAGCTACTAACAGGCTAAACAAATTGTCTGTTTTATTATCTATCTTCTTAAAAGCGATATTAAATAGTACTTTAGTGCAGCCAGGACTTACTTATCAACAGTAAGGCCTTTTAATTTTCTTAAATAGCAGGTTTCATAGAAAGGATCTGCAGGTTTTTTAAAATAAAAACATTCAATCATTTTTTTGGGTCGATTGCAAATCCCTACAACCTCTTTCTCTGGAAACTTTTTAAAGGCAATTAACTATTTTTTCTGAAGTCCAACTTATGCCTTCCTAATCCGGTTAATTCCTAACTTAATTTAATTTAATCTTCTCCGATTAGCGCAGCATACAACTATCCGTTGAAGGTAATAATAAAATGTCAAGGGAAGGTGGAACGTGGAAGTTCTTAATAACTTGCCCTAAGATATGTTGCGTTAGTGTATAATGCATACTATTTCATAGTTTACTCAAAATGGGGTCACAACTCCTTTTGGATTTATATGATTTTCAGAATGCTTATTTTCTTATTCTTTATTTCAACGTTTTCCGTTCTTACAATATTCGAAAATTCTTATATCTGCTTGCTTTAATGCAAAGTTGGCTAATTGAGGATAACTTTTATAAGTTAACACCTAACTGCATATACAATTGAGGAACGTAATTGTCGTATTGCGATTGGTAAAAATTGCCAGCAATTGGTTGACCAAGTTTATACTTTCGAGCAAATTTGAGTGTTGAAAATCCAGATCGACCGTTTGTGCTATTATTGTATAAATAAGGCTCAATAAAATTTAGCTTTTCGGATTGTTTGTACAGCAGGAAGACATAGCGGTGCAAACCAGTATCTTTCGGTGGCCCGGAACCAACATAAGCCGTTAACACTTCGCCTTTATTTAAAGCCTTGTCGGGAATATTGACGACCATCCAATGTTGCCACTCACGTAATTGATGTTCTCGACGTGAGGGCGCATCAGGATCTGTCATAATTAAGGTATAATAAGCATTAGGTTCTCCATTCCATTCAACCACAGGCTCATCTTTCGTCTGGGTTGGTGTTAATTCGGCACCCAAGTTTACCTCTTTCTTATTATTATAAATGATCTATAAAAGAAGAAAAAATATATTTTATAAACCGAAAAAACTTTTTTCTTCTTTCGCACTTTCAAGAAATCTTTAGGTCCTTTATCGATTACATCTGGTATAATTTGATGATCCTTCATTATTTTTTCTATATCAGCTTCTTCGCCTAACACATAACTGGAACCGACTAGCAGAAAAAACAGCAAATATATTCTCCTCATTTTATCTACGATCTATTAATGTTCTGCGGTGGCTAAGCAATCTTTTTTAAACGACTAGCAAACTTGAACTGAAATGTTATTCGTTGACATGCTCTTAATATATGGATTAAAACATAACCGAAAAGCTTTCAAAAATTGAATCATTTGTTAAGAATTTACTTTAAATGCAACTCGGCAAACATTTGTCTTATCTCGACCCTGGACAGCTGTAGATATTTTATGCTTGTTTTTCTCCTTGCAACATCTAGAAATACAAATCAGAAAATTCGCAAAATGCTTGTCTTCTTGATTAGCTTAAGAATTTAAGATGACTTCGTGTTGATATTATTAATTGATTGCCATGGATCGAGATTTAAAACGAACGCATTCTAGTGAAAAAGAAACATTTTCTATATCCATTTAAAATAGAAATCAAATGTTTAATAGAGCCACCTTAGTGATTGTCAGGAGGAAGAGTTGTTTCTATTTTTGTTTTTTTACGAACAATTGCTACAAGTGTCGGGAGAACTGCTGGACTGTATACTATATAATGACCATTAGTTTATTAGTTCCCAACTGTTGGGGTCATACGAAATGATTAAATGTCTGGCTTGTGGTTCCAAAGAACACAACACACTAAATAAAACCTATCCGGATAGAGAGTTGGAATTACCTGCCAATAAGCTAATAACCATTAAGAACTTATAAAAAAGTGGGCGAAGTATAATTTTGCAATTATTTTGAACGTTTTGACTACAAGTCAAAGTCATAGCCAACAATCAGTCAGAATTGCCTCCCAAAAATACGCTGGCAGTTTACAAAGCATTAGTTAGATATAAGATAGATTTTGCACATTTTCTAATATATATATTGAGATATGTATACAAGCATTCAAAAGTATAGTGTTAAAACGTTGCATTGGTCTGACTTTCTCAACTCCTTAACAGATCTTCAATGTCATTTCTGACAAAAAAAAATTCGTTGTTTTATTTTCAGCTCCATTTTATAACAATATCTTTTTAACAGAGATGGCATATAGATTTCCATATCTTAACAGAAAGCTATGAACACGTGAATAATTTGGTTCCTCTTTTTCTTCATGACGTTGCCATTTATCCATATTCTCTCTCCACTCTCAACACATGATATTGCTTTTTACAAAATTTGTAAAGGAAAAAACCAGGTAACGGATTTTTGCGAGAAACCAAAGACATTTTAATCATTTCAAAGGGCAAGTGCAAGTTCTTGTAGGTGGAAAAAAAGGAATTTATGCGAATAAATTCAAAAATTCTTTAGTAAACTAACTAATTATATGTGATAATTGCTAACATAAAGAAAGTGTATTAAAATCATAAGCGCCATAAAAAATATCATATAAAAAGAAAATCATCTGAGAATCGCATACCTATGTTGTACCAATTTGGATTTTAAAAATATCAGTCTGCTTTACTCGATGCTTACCTAGGTGAGCTCAAGTGAATGACGGCCACCTTGTTTCGACATCGGGTCACACTAGTTTTTTTATAGATGATAAAGCCGATTTCCAGGCAAAAAGAGCTCAATTTGATGGTACAAAAAACGAGTAGATGATGAATTGAAAGAGATAGCGATTATTCACGCTATATATAGGTGATTGTTTTGAAAAAACCTATATGTAGCAATAGGTACATTTTAAATAACGTTCTTCACAAATATATAAAACATAAGAGGATTTGTAAAACCCAAAGCAACCAATATTAAAGCAAAGCAATTTTGTTTATGGCTGTTTTGCCAATTTTGAAAAACCGTTTTGTCGCACCTATTGTGTTGCACGTACACATGCTTAAAGAGGTCGAAAATGAAACGTAGTTAACATCATGCATAAGTAGTGCTCAGTACCCTGAAACAACAACTAACCATATGATATTGTTATGTTTTGATAAATACAGCACTGTTTTGTCTGTCAGTGGCAAACAAGAAGCTTTAAAAATTTGCAAAAATATGCTTCAACGCGAAAACACGAACAATCAATTTAGTATTAATAGCTCGAATGTGAAGCAAAGGCAGTAATTTACTTTCGCGCTTAAAGGATTCATTGTCAAAATTACAGTTACCGCAGAAGCCATTGCTAAAATAGTTCATTTCCGTTTGTTGCAAGTAATTTGTCCGCATTTTAATGATGCTTTGCCTTGCCAGTGAGATTTTGCTTTTGCTTTTAGTTTGATTAACAAAAGCCGGTCATATTTTAAGTGTCAAATTTACACCTAGGAGTTTGTGAATAACGGTAGTTTTAAGAGAAAAGAGAACGGTAGTTTAAAAGAATTTTTATTAAATATAAGAATATATTATACGATTTATTAGGAGTGAAATCGTTTAGTGTCCATGGATGAAATCAACGATTTTTTCGATTTTTCCAAAGATTTTGTGCGGCAGACAGCACCTCGTGGTTGCGTATCAGGTCAGTGCCTTCAATTTATAATATTGGAGTTCCAAAGTGGTTTTGTTTATTGTCTATATTCCGATATTGTTTACTTTTCGTTCGTTGTATCAGGTTCATTACCAGCTGCAGCTGGTCAAACGCGTGACCGGAGAGCAGACATTAAACGGAATTATGAAGGCAATGAGTATGCCCAAGCGATTATAGAACAAGAGCGCGTTAAACTTGACCAGGTATACCAAATTCAAATGCTAGCCAGTAAAGAATGCTAAAATGGATTTCATTGTCAGGTTAATCTACGTGGTGATAATAGTAATAAGTTACCACCACGCAGTTGGGCCCGTGCATCCTCATGTATGAATGACGTAGAAAGCCTAATGAGTGATTCCGATTTCAAAACTGACGAAGAGGATCAAAGCGATCATCATCATCAGATCAGACGTGCAGATGATGGTTTGTACGACCGTTATCATTTTGATTTGCGACGTGACGAAACTTTACCTATACACGATAGTAAAGAACATATTATTGCATCAATTAGAGAGAATCCAGTTATTGTTCTCGAAGGTGACACTGGCTGCGGAAAAACAACACAGGTTCATTCGTCTTGTATTTTATAAATGAAGATTTAACAATGTTCTCATCCAGGTACCGCAGTATATTCTCGACGACGCGTATCGTCGACGAGAATATTGCAAAATAGTTTGCACACAACCGCGCAGAATTGCAGCGATTTCTATATCAGGCCGCGTTTCTTCGGAACGCAAATGGCCTCAAGGTTCTGTAGTAGGATATCAAGTAATTAAATGCGAATATAACAACAAAAGGAACAACGATTTCGTGTTTAACGCAATTTTAATCATTTCTAGGTTGGTCTACACGCTAATGTGACCGAAGATACTCGTTTGCTTTTTTGTACAACCGGTGTATTGCTACAAAAGCTAATACGTGAGAAATCCATGACCCACTTCACTCACATTATATTGGACGAAGTACACGAACGTGACCAAGAAATGGATTTTTTATTATTTGTGGTTCGGCGTTTATTGACGACGAACTCGAAACAAGTTAAAATTATATTAATGTCGGCCACCATTAATTCAGTAGAGGTAATTGCTTAACTGTGCTAAAATATATTTATCAAAAAAAAAAAAAAAAAAAAAAACCAAATAAAGCTCTTAATAAAAATTTCCTTTCCTACACAAATTCTTATTTGTTTCTTTTTAGTTTTCAAACTACTTCAAATTCCATGGAAGACCGGCGCCAATAATAAGAGGCGATAGTCGTCGCTTATTTGAAGTCAGAGAATTTTATTTGTGCGATTTGGATCCAATAAATCCTACGGTACTGAGTAATTAAAACATTGTGAAACGAATACTTTATATTCTGTCGTTTGTTAACAGAAATTTCGTCCGGATTATGCAGATCCTGGCATCAGCAAAGAAATGTATACTATTGCTTTTAAATTAATTGTAGTCATTGATAATATTGAAAAACAAGAGGGCGCTTTAAGTTTAAGCACCGCAAACTCAGTTCCTGCGAAAACTTCAATTTTAATATTTCTGCCCGGTATTAACGAAATTGACCTCATGTATAAAAGACTAGAGCAGTTAAATCAGACTGCCCGGTATGCAACCAGAAATTTTTGAAAATAAAAAAATCGAGTAATAATTTTATATATAATTAAAAATCTAGTGACATCTCCAAATTGAATCCCATTCGCTTACATTCCTTAATATCACCCAATGAACAACTCCAGATATTCAAGCCGGCACCTGCTGGTTATCGCAGAGTTATTTTATCCACTAATATAGCCGAAAGCTCAGTGACGGTACCAGGCGTTAAATACGGTAAGGTATAGATTTTTTATTTTAAAATACTTTTTAAAAGTAAATTTAATTTGCATTTTTCCCGAAGTCATTGATTTTTGCTTAGCGAAATCACTCTTTACTGATCCGACCAGCAATTTCACATCATTGCAATTGCATTGGGCCTCCCACGCTAATTGCCGTCAGCGTGCAGGACGTGCTGGGCGTGTTATGAAGGGTCGTGTTTATCGTTTAGTACACCGCTCTTACTATGAGGTTTGAGTTATTATAAACATGTCTTTTAAGTGTATTATTGTGTGTGTTTATCCTCACTTATTTTTAGACTTATATGGAACGGTTTAGCATGCCGGAAATGTTGCGATGCCCGTTGGAAAATGTGGTTTTAAAAGCTAAACTCTTAGATATGGGACCACCATCAGAAGTGTTAGCTTTAACTATGGCACCACCTGACTTAAGCGCTATTCACAACACCATCTTGACTCTTAAAGAAGTTGGCGCTTTATATAAAAATGTTAACGGATATTACTCTGTTCAGGATGGCGATCTTACATATATGGGCCGCATTATGGCCAGCTTGCCTTTGGACATTCGATTAACTCGTTTGATTATTTTGGGCTATATATATAGTGTTTTGGACGATGCGATTGTTATGGGTAAAAGGTTAAAATTGATTTAAAGCTGTTCAAATCGTGTTAATATACTTTTTAGCTGCTGGTTTAAGCGTACGTTCCGTATGCAAATTACAAAGTACATCACAACAAAACGATTTAGAAGCTTACGTGCAGAAACTTGTGTGGGCTGATAGCTCTGGCTCGGATTTATTTGCTATTTTAAGAGCTTATAGGGTAAGTTTATTTTTAAATGTTTGTCATTCTCTTACTTCTACTGCTACTATTCACTTAGCTTAAATACTTTGTCTTAAGGAAGGAAAATTGCTATATTTCGCAATAAAGTTCAATTAAAGAAAAATGGGTTTATATTTTATGAGTTTAGTTTATATAATAACGATAAGTATTCTTTTTCTAGATTTGGACTTCCATGCATGAACATAATAGCTTAACAAACGACAAAGATGAAAATGATTGGGCTCAACGATTTTTTATTAATTTGCGCTCTATTAAGGAAATGCATTTGTTGGTGCAAGAGATTCGTGCACGTTTGATATCTTTCAATTTTAAAGAGCAAACATCTTATCAACGTGTTCATTGGATGGAACGCGAGAAACCGATTGTACTAAAAATAATCATAGCAGGAGCATTTTATCCCAATTACTTCACACGTTCTAATCTGAACGACACGGACCGCGAACGTGGCGTTTATCACACTTTGTGCGGTAATGATCCCTGCAGTACGGTGTACTTTACAAATTTCAGTACTCAACAAATCGGACAATTGTATACGCGTTCCATTAAAGCATTATTTAAAGGCGTTTTACCTAAAGACATTGAGGTGCGTTTTCAACCAGGCTCTGAACGAGTGTTTGTTACATTTACTAAAGATCCAGAATTTGCTTGTGAAGATGTAACAAAACGGCTTTTGGTACCAGGTCGTGTGAAACCGGACGTTTATAAGGCAATAAGAATGCGTATGTCTTCTTCGCGTCTTTACATTAATGTCATGGAGTAAGTAATGTACAAAAACGGGATTCTCTAATTCTATTGTCTATTGTTCCTTTATTATTAATATAGGCCTCGATTAGCTGTAAAGTATGCAACAGAGCGCGGATACGGTGCTACGGTAGATGGAGTCTGGAAGCCAAACAATCCGTCCCTCCAAAATGTCGATTCCATCGTGTTACCTTCAGTCTTTGAAAAAAAATTGAGAGGATTAATTGCACATGTATGTCCACCGAATATATGACTTTATTTTGTCTGTTTACATTATATCCTTGCTAGGTTGAGCATTGCAGTAAATTTTTCTTCTTGCCTTTGAGTGAGTTTGAATATGTACGTGAAATGCATGATACAATAAATAGATCTGATGGAATTGAAAATGGTCGATTTAGAAGTCCTGCCGAAATATCAAAGGGAATGATCTTGGTGGCTCCTCTCAATGAGAAATACCGCAGAGCAAAAGTTATAAAATTTTCAAATGCTAGAAATAATCTACAGTTTCAGGTAGTACCAACTATATGAATATTCGATTGATTTATTTAATCTTTTCCGTTTCATTCAGGTATGCTTCATTGATAACGGCTGCAAGTTGTGTGTCAATTTCGAAGACTTGCGAAAAATACCGGAAAAATACAAGTTGATGCCACCACGAGTTTTTGAATGCCGTTTAGCTATGGTACAACCCTCCACTGTTAAATCACCGAATGGCAAATGGGCCGAAGAATCAAAAGAAATTCTACAACAATGTGCCAATGCCGGCAGAGTGGAAATTGAAGTCTTCTCGGTAGTATATGGCGTGGCAAATGTTATCATTAAAATGCAAAATGGTACCTTAAATGATTTATTAGTGCAGAAATATTTCGCCCGCAAAACGGAAGAGAATTATTTATCAAAGGTTTGTGGTATAAATGTAGCCACAAGCTATTATTGATGAATTATTCAAAAAATTTTGTATATATTTTTTTCCAGACTGACCATGATTTGCGTTTGCGCAGACAGGCTTTGGTCGATCGTTTCTTGACCGAAGATAATCGGCGTGAAAATCAAGAATATGTACTATCCATGCAATCGAACGCGGAAGGAGACATTGAGGCACCACCTCGCGAGCTATGCAGTAAAATCATAAAGTTGCGTGGCCCTTATAGTCCTTTAGAAACAAAAATTTACTCAGCTATCGCTGCCGGCACATGGAAATGCGTAGAGATCGAGAAAGAGTCTGTGAATTCAGTGCTGCTGGATACCGATCCGCAAGATGTGCATGAGCATTTAGTTGTTGCTGCTGCTGTTACAGAAAATCAATCTGGTAACACGATTGTCGCACGTGGCACCACACTGATGCCTAACATACACGGTTTTGGAGCTTTAGTTACAATGATGTTCTGCCCAACGATGCAAATCAAACGCAATAAAGACCGTACGAAATATGTCACAATATTAGCTGGCTTAGGATACGATCAAAACACCCTTGAGCCTTTGTACGGCCAACATGATTTAGTTTTAAATTTGGATGTCGAATTGGACATGGACGATTTTAAACTGGTAAATCAAGTGTCACCCCTGTTTTTAATATTTTTATTTTTTATTCAATATAATTTTCTATTTTTAGGTCAATCAATTACGTTATAGTATGGATATCATACTATACACAGACCCTGGTCCTGATGAACGTCCCACTATTACGTCAAGCGCTATATGTGATTTGCAAGCCAAACTTAAACAGATTATTATAAAGTATAGAGTTTTTAAAATATTTCTGTCGATTCGCTCTTTAATTGACTTTTTCGCAGACTATTCACTAAAAACCGGAAATATATTGAAACACATAGCAGTGACAATGATAATGTTTGGGAGCGTTTCGAGTGCGAAGAAATTTTGGAAAGTTCTGAAGTTTTAGGTGAACGTTCGATATTCCCAATGCTTCCATCTTTTCGCTTGTACCGTGAGGATAACGGTCGTATAAGGACCCTTTTGACGCACTGCGAAGAATTGCACACTCTACGACACTTGTAAGTTAATTCTTAATTTTTCGTAAAATGAAATGATTTTAAAGCTCTCAATGTCTTTTTTAGCGATGGTGCTATGCAAACGGTTACATGCCTTTTGTGCAATCAACCTTTGGAGAATGTTGTGCAAGTGCGTATGCATTTATTATCTCAATTACATCGTGATCGTGAACAGCAGATAGACTTTAAACCGCCACGAAAATGAAATAGTGGACTCAAATTTAAAAACTTTTAAATTTAAAGACCTTTTTTTTTCTCTGCTCCAAATGAACTGACTTTATATAATTTTTTTTTTTTGCCGTATTTATCTTTTGAAATAGTAAATAAAAGTGATAATGATTCTATAATTTTTTTCCTCTTTATTACATCTTTTTCATTAAGTTCACATTACACATTGTTTCTCTTTATTAGCTTATTCTTTTTTATATTAGACACGTAACATATGGGGATATATTTGAAAATTTAACATAGAGTATAGTTGCGCATGCTATTCAATGGCTTACTGCATAAGCCGCACATTTTATTTTTATATACGGAATATATTTCAAAATTTAATATATTCGACATGTCGAACTGTATGGTTGATGGCATTAATGTATTCTCTACCAGCAAAATATTTTGTTCATTGACTTCGACCCTGCAGATAGGGGGAAAAAAAATAAACAAATGAAAGTAAGTATAAACAACGTAGAAAATAATAATGCGAATAATATGGCGATAGTTTTGTTCAACTTTCTTATTTATATCCGATCGTATTTTTTAATTACTATAAATATCATATGAGTTTGGTATGAATTTGCTAGTTTATGTGGTATTGGGAGTGCAAAACCGATCGACAAATTGAATTCAATGTCATCAAGGATCAAGGATGTATTTAATTATAAATTAATTTTGGAGGCAGATATGATGCCATTGAGATTTTGCTGGCACTTTAGATATATTTTGATACCCTCTAGTATACAATATAACTTCGACTCTATATATGTATTGTTTGTACTTCTAGTTCGTCGAAGCTCTTTTTTAGCATTGTTATAATTGTTTTCGATGATGGCCACAACGAGTTTGAAGATGAGCTTGTTAAGCCACAGACAAACCTAAGATGTCAGAGCAAAGCCTTTTGAGTCTTCACGAGAAGAATAGACGCGCAAAAGCTTGAAGAGAAACTGTAACTTACAATCTATTAGAAATATTGAACTTAAACGTGTCACGAAAACAAAGAAAGCTTCGTTGAATCAACTGGCATACTACTCACAATTAACAAAATATTTTATAACACTTTTGCACTGATTCAGCCTAGGACGAATACAACTAAACGTAATATTATATGTAAGAGTATGTGTAAAGATGGCTTTAAAAGGATTGTAATTTCTTTAATATTGTATAGACTTGCCTGAAGTCGTAAGCATCTTCTTCTGGGTATTGATAGGGTTTGTTTCGTATATTAATGGGATGCTCGATATCCTCGTTCAGTGTGATGTATATAGGATCGTTATCGGATTCAATGGTTTTTGTGCTGTTATAGGTGAAATAGTTTTGACCGATATAAACACGCAGGCCGTAAGTGGGACTTAAATTGTTTGCTTTAAAGGGCATTAAGAAAACCGCCATTTCACGTAGCGGACTGCAATCGGCAGCTAAAAGAGTTAAACAATTATCCGCCCTATAAACTTTATTATAATCGGATAAATCGATTAAATAATCGTCGAAACTATTAACCATGCCGTTGATAACCGAGCAAGAGCCTGAAAAGCAGAAAATATGCAAAGAGTAAATAAAAAAAACAAAAAAATAAAAACATACGTTTCACTCCGGAATCGTAGGAGAGCTCATGGGAGGCATCATATTTGGAATCTAATTTGTGCAGGAATGGTATATGATAAATACGTTTTTTTACACCATTTATTTCTACAGTTAACCAAAAATAATCGTTGGGGGCGTTTACCGACACATGAATCTCTTTGCTCATATTCAAACGTTCTATTTTTTTGGGCGAAAACGACGAGACAAAATGATCTAGACGAGTCGACCAATAATCAAACCATTCTGGCATCTGTGAAAGGCATGATTAATAATTCAAATGTGAATAAATTTTCAATTTAATAAATTATTTACATTATTGAACTGCATATCCATTTTATATTTCGTTATCGAAGTGAAATTCTCAAAATTGCTGCGTTTGCAGTATTTCGATGTTGGTATAGGTGAGAATTTCAAGACTTCTTTAGGACAGAAATCGGTATCGGTGAGAGGATTTTCAGATGATAGAAATTCTTTGGCTCGTTCAGAAGGCTGAAATGTCATAAATGTACGCAAAAATTTTTAGAGTTTTTTTTTTTTTTTTTTTATAAATAGTACTATACCCCAGCTCGGCTGTTGAAAAAGACGCTGGATCCATTTTCGGGGCATTCATTGTGCGATGACGTCGTCACGTTACCGAATATCAGAGAACCGACCAATGTATGAGGGCGCTTGGTAAATACTAAAGGTGTATATGTGATATTAACACAAGCCTGAAAAAAGATAACTTGATCATAACACATTCTAAAGGACAAATATCAAAGGTGCTTGTTCTTCTTTTTTATATAATAAAAGATCATTTCAAGAAATTCAGATTTTTAGAGAATTACAGATTTTTTGCAGTTTATATTCCCAGTGCTTAGCTTAGTAAAGCAATATTAAGTGCATTCGAAACTTTGATAAAAATGACAGGTTTGATCCGCTTGTGTCGATGATGCACTTTCCTCGTCTTTGAAATTATTTAACTTTCAATGAGTAATCACTAAATAGAGAAGAAATTTAAAATTTCTTCTTCTTCTCTCTCTCTCTCTCTCTCTCTCTTCCCCTTTCTATGAAGATTTTTCGAAGAATCCGTAGCAAAACTTTTTAGATGTTTTTCTACGGGCTCGACATATGCTTTCATACAATCCACTACATATGGTATAAGGATACATTGAGTTGGTAGAAAGCTGGATGAAACACCAAGAAGGTCTTGAGATACACCCAACTTTTATTACACCGATCGATTGAGAATCACGTTCAAAATTGATTTGCGCTTGGCTATGCGGCTGTCCGTCTGTCCGTCTTGTTATCTTGTGTCGAACCTACAAATCGCAATTTTTGAGGTATTTTGATGCAACTTGGTCAAGTTGTGTGCTTTGGCCAAAAGACGAATGCTTTTGAAAATGGTTCGGATCGGACCACTTTTTCGAACACTTCCCGTATAAAGGCTTATTGGGAAATGGGATCATATGAATAACTGCAATTTGTTGTAGAGCATTTAATGATGGGCTCGCGGCCCATTATAGTGATTTTGTTCGTGATTTGCTTAAACTATATTTCGATATTTAATTTTAAATATTTAATCTTTTTATCTAGGATAATATAACATAAGAAATATGTATATGTAAATATTGCAATTAACTGAGAAATAAATGAAAGAACATAAGTAAAATTAGTTTAGAAATATATATATATATATATATATATATATATATATATATAATATATATGAAACTAGCTTAAGGTTCGCTATACTTTACGCAAAAGCACTATAAGGTGTCACTTATATAAGCAGAGAACGGTATAAAAGTCTGAATATGCATGCTTATGCACTTTGTAGTGTTCCACTTTAGGTTCCGTGCTAAAGTACCGAAAGCACTGGAACAGTTGAAGATGGCGTTAAAATGTTGAATGAATTTTGAAAGGAAGATGCAAGGGAAAGGGAGGAAAAGGGAGAGAGTGAGAGAGAAAAAAAAATAATGTCGAAAGGGAGGGAGAAAAGAACTACAATGATTGTATTTGGCTATGGTCGAATCTTTTGTGCCTGCCAGATGCGTGACGCCATTGGCGTCTCTTTCAATCAGCATAAGAACTTCCAATATTTAAATTTTTGCGAACGTCGAGCATAGATGGACAGACGGACATGTCTAGATAGATTCCGAATTTTATTTCAACATCAAGCATATACATAGTTTATGGGATTTGCGTAAGACGTTTTAATTGGGTGTTGCAAACGTTTTCACCAAATGAGAATATTCGTATACCAAGATGTTTCGTTGGTGGGTGCAAAAAAATAAAAATAAAAAAAAAAAATAAAATAAAAAAAAAGTAAATAAACTCTTTAAGAACTCATAAAAGTACTTTTACCTTTTAGGCAGAGCAGTAGATAGAAAAGAAAGTCGAAATAAAAATCGCAGTAACAACAAGAGCGAGATATGCGAGTACAACCTAAGAAACATGATAATAACTAGAACAATAGCAATAAGAAAATGAGTGATACAGGGCACCCAATCAACATGCGCTTACAAGGATCTACGTGTAAATGACGTAGGCTTGTTTCTGTCTGCAGTTGTGGATATGCAATTGAACCACATCAACCTGTTCATTCGTTTTACATTTACGTATGAACATATATATGTACAAACATTCTGTCAATAGTTAAGCTCTCTCTCTCTCTCTCTCTCTCTCTCGCTCTCTGACTTTAATTTATAATGAATTGCAGCAAGGACATGCATGCTACCTCATCAATAATAATAATAATATCATGTAAGTGATAATAAAACTAACTTTCAGCAGTAGCAGCAGCAGCAGCCATAGCAGGACTTTTAATGTATTTTCTTTGTTATTAGTGCTAAGCTAAGTAAACCGCTATGAAATAATATTGCGTGCGTGTTGCATTGTAGCCGTTGTTTTTTCAATTTTTGTTATGATTTTGTGCATTTAGTTAAATTGCCTTTGCCGTTGCCGTTGCTGTTGCCGTCTTTACATATATATATATATATATATATAGATAGATACTACGTAACTAACTACTGTGCTATTAAATCGATATTGCTTTCGAATCAAAATCTTGTATTGTTTGCTTTTCAAGTCATTGCCACAAATTTTTTTGAAAAGTTTTATGAATTTTTTTTGGAGAAAAAATTGAAAAATTTTTTAGTTGTTTTTTTTCCGTTTGCAAACAGATATAAAAAGAAAAGAAATAAAAGATAGTTATTTTGCGAATGTTCTGCGAAAATGTCGTCGGTAAGCTTAAGAGTAAATGAATCATGTTTTATCGATTGCCTTATTATTCTTATAAATTGCAGATTGAATCGAAACGTGTACAATATCGTAAGTACTTGGAGAGAGCTGGCGTTATCGATGCTCTAAGTAAAGCTTTAATTAAGCTTTATGAGGAGCAAAATAAACCGGATGATGCAATACGCTTTGTGCGCAAGTTCATGTGCGAATCATGTCCCGACGATACCCAATTTGACGCTATGAAGGCTGATTTAGAAGAGGCTAATAAAACGATTAGCAAGTTGGAACAAGACCTCGAGCGTTTGAAGGATCAAATGTAAAACACACACACCCACACACACATCTTTTTTATATACAATTCCGCGAATAATGATTTTTTCATTTTTTTTCAATTTTTTTTTTGTCTTTTTATGATTAGCAAAAAATCGCCTGAAGAAATTGCCGAACTGCTTGAAGAAGGTTTCAAAAAACTCGTTGAAGATGAAGAGCATACCGGTTCGTTGTTACGCAAATATCTTACGCGGGAAATTTTGGACGAATATCTGAAATTGACAACTCCTCCGCCGGTAGAAGCGTCTCTTTTAGATTGCATACAATCCGGTTTGACCTTCCATAATTCATCATGCGGAGTATATGCCGCTGATGTAGAATCGTATGAAATGTTCAATAAACTTTTCGATCCCGTCATACGTGACTATCACGGCCAATTGGAAACTGATAAAGAGCAATTACAGCCCGAGGCAGAATTTGGCAATCCGGACGAAATTGAAAATATGGATCCCGAGAAGAAATATATACTTTCGACCCGTATTCGCGTAGCTCGCAACATTGAGGGCTTTCCGTTTTTTATGAAGTTACGTGAAAAGCAATTCCTTGAGATTGAGGAAAAAGTAAAGGCCTCGACTGATTCGTTCGATGGTGAATTAGCCGGTGCCTATCATTCGTTGAAGGACATCTCACCCGAAACTCAAGAAGAAATGGTTAAACGTCATATCTTATTTCGCAGAGGCGATGAATATTTACAAGCGGCTGGATGCTATAGATTTTGGCCGGTAGGTCGTGGCATTTTTTATAATCCGGCCGAAACTTTTCTCATATGGGTAAATGAGGAAGATCATTTGCGTATAATATCGATGGCTAAATGTGGAGATTTAGGTGACGTTTATAATCGCTTAATAAAAGGTCTAACGGAATTGGAAAAAACTATCACTTTCATGCGTCATCCTTTATACGGTAATGTAACTGTTTGTCCCACAAATCTAGGCACGACAATGCGCGTTTCGGTGCATATACGTTTGCCTCTCTTATCCCGTGACCAAGATCGTTTGAATGGCATGGCAGCAGAATTAAATCTACAGATACGTGGTACTGGCGGCGAGCATACAGCCATTGAAGATGGGATCATGGATGTGTCTAATAGGAAGCGTTTGGGTGTAACTGAGTTCGAGTTAATCAAGACTTTGCAGGAGGGCATTCTGACTTTGATCAAAGCCGAGCAGGAACTTGAAGCTAAAGAATAATTTCTAAATATCGGCATCATTTTTTTTTTTTTTTGCTTCTAATTTATATAAATAGATATCAAGAGCGCGGGAAAGGAAATATATATGTGTAAATTTGAATGTTTGTTATGTAATTTAAATTTGATTTTTGTTTTTTTTTTTTTTTTGCTTTTTTAAATAAAATTAGAAACTAGAAAAGAAAGTGTTTGAAAAATACCTTCCAATCGGTTTGCAATGCAGTAGAGAGATCGGCGGTAATTCGTTGAACTTTCAAATTAAACCAATTTGTTTTCTTCGAGGATAATACATACATATTGATAAGCCATTTGTGCATACTCTCGTCTAATTGAGGATCGTTCGTATGCGTTAAAGTGAAATTAATATGTCGCGATAGTGTATCGTTTGCCATTAATTCATCGGCCGAGCAAATCGCTCCTTCAATCTGCAAAATAAATATATCAATATTATAATGGGAAAGATGGATGATAAAGAGAGATGCTATGCTTACGCGTGTATATTGATCATTAGATACTAATAATGTGAAATTACGATCATGACCTAAATGTATGGAACTGAGCTGAGCCACCCCAAATACGTACATTAAAAAATTGATAATCATGTTACGCGAAAATCCACTGCAAAATGTTTCAATTTAAAAATTATTTTATTATATATGAATGTTGGCAGTTTTGCTCACTTCTCCATAAACTCGGATTTTAAGAGCATGCCTCGATACTTGTTTAGCTCATTAAGATTTGTATTGATTGCCATGGCCATACCCAAGTCTTTGATCTCATATTTTAATAATTGAAACTATTTTTCGGAAATAAAATTTTTTATAATCAAATCAAATGTTTAGTTATTGAAAAGATTTCGAAAATATGCAAAATTTTATATTTGAAATAATTTTCAAAATTGTTCGTCTTATTTAATTGCAATTTTTCGCTGAGCAGAGTAACAGAGTAAAAGAAGTACATTTTATTTCGTATTATACGTACCACGTCATGCTGCCGTTCAGGATACATGATTTCTTCGAATGGTTCATTGGCTGATTTCGTAATTAATCCCCGGGTCGATGTAACCGATCTGGACTTAAATGCTAAGCCGCTGGTAAGATTTTCAGGACGATTAAAGGCGTACTCTAAGCAAGAGTTGGCATAATAATTTAGACCTAAATTTAACGGTACATAGACTACAAAGCCCTGTTCACGTTTGATTTCGTGATCCAAGTTAAGAAAAGGATTGTAGCTTCGACTGCGACACGAAGCGTACGATAGGTAGCGAGCATCAATCTCTAAAGATGATTTCATTGTATTAGGATGATGATATTGCGTTATATTGCCGCGCAATGACGTCAATACCGTAGTTTGGAGCAAAACATCGGCCGTCGTACCTAAAACGGTGGGCACTTCGTATTTAGTCATAAATGGCCATCGTACCGTTTGCATATTAATATGACTGTCTGCCTTAATTAGAAAGCTAATTCGATCAATAACTGGAATTGAAATGAATGAATGAATGATTACAATTTGCATTTACGTAGAAATTCTAGAAATAGGAAACTGACTGTCGCGATACGTCAACTTCTGATACGATTTCGCGTTCAAGTAATAAGACAGCACGGCTTTGCCCTCCATTTTCAGTATGAATTCTAAATGCAAAGGTTTCGTATCAATGATCGGAGCATCCAACAATTTCAATAAGTCTCGTATGTTCGCATATTTCCGTGGATCGCCATTGGTTTTCATATAAGTTTTGAATAAAGTATCAGGTAAACCTCGAGCCTTAATGTATAACTAAAATGAAGGAATAGGAAAAAAGCCTTGCAAAAATTTGGTCCATTTAAATTGAAGCATTTAAGTTACCGCTAATTGGCCAGTGAATTTGCCCAAAGCCTCGGTATCAAACTGTAAGTAAGCCACTACGGGTAAATCTGATTTGGGATCACCCACCAAGAAAACTTGTAACATAGCTCCAATACCGAATTTAGAGTCACGATAATCGAATATGTAATTCCCGCTTATCCAATAACGTGGCTCGGGCTTTTGCGGCAAATGACGATGCATGTAGGATAGGAGGCGTCTCCTAAGAAAGGAAGAAATAAAAATGTTCTCGTGCAGAGCGCTTAATATTATAGCGTTGTTACTTACAAATTTTGATAGCAAGGATAAGTTGTCTCCGATATACTGGTTATGGTGGTACGATAATAGTTAATCATATGCGGATCGGTTTCGCTCTGTATAATTCGATGTATGCTAATTAGACGGGCTGCTGTCGGATTCGATATTAAGAGGAGGGTTAAAGCAGCCACCCTCAATTCTAGGCTGGCATTACGTGATTCAAAGATTGGCCAATAAATTTCATAAATCTGTTGATAACGAATTTTTCGATTCAATTTTCGAATTTATTCGATTTAAAAAAGTTTAAAGTTTAAAGCTTTAATACCCTTTCAGCTCTGTCTTGGGCTACCGAAAGTGTCGTCCAAGCGGCCAAAAACTTAATGTCTTGATTTTCTTCACCATTGCTAACAATCGGGTCCAAATAGTTTGCCACATTACCTACTTGTAGATTACTTAAGCCTTGCAAATATAACATTTTGTTGTCATAGTCGCGAGCATCTAAAAATATTGATTCAATTCATAATTCAATTCGTTGGATTCTAAGATTTGAATCGATGGCACTTACTCAAATAGAAATTGAAATATTTTTGCACGTAGTCCTCAAAGGCGTCTTTATTAATGCGACCGGCCTCGTGTACATTGTAAATTAATGTTGCAAAGCTTAAGATGGCTGCCTGCCTTACATCAGGTCTATCAGGTCCCAAAGTTAAGAATACTTCACAACCTTTCACTAAATCATGTGATAATTCGAATATATGAAATGGCATGGAAACTAAAAGTTGTACCGCTATAGTCGATTTTATTTCTTTCTCCACAACCAGATAACGTGTTAGAAAGACTGACGCTTTAGTACCGATTCTCGGTATAATTTCATGAAATATATTGCGTATAGTTTCTTGACGGTATGAGGTACCAATATCAACTTCCGTATACAGTTTCTCCAAGGATTCATATTCCATCTCGGTTAATAGCTTAATAACATCGGATACTGTAGAATCATAAGGCTCACTAAACTTAAAATTCGTACTCTCTAGGCCCTCAGCTAAGCTGTCTAATAAACGCGAGGCTTCAGCAATTAAATTTTCCTGCTGCTGAGGATATCGGCTGCCAGTCGGATCGTTCAATTCTACGGGCAGCAATTGCAGACCACAAACTTCCGTGGACATAGAAGTCTCAATATCAATTGGGTTATCGATGGTCGTTTCATTCAAAAAATTCAAAAGTAATCTAATGCAAGATATGATATTTTCGAAACTGTTTGCTAAAATGTCGTCGCATACGAGCGCGCGTTACTTACTCAGAATTAATGAATTGAGCTTCACCGGTCGATTCGAAAGTGTGTATCAAAGAGGAACCCTTTACGTGAGCCATACTTAAGAAATAACCATTCTCTGGATGTGGTAGCATACCGTATATAGCTTCATTACCACTGATGACATTCTGTTGAAAATCAAATTTACATGTATTGGTCGGCACATTGCTACGTATCACATGTATGGATTCGGCATGTGGTTTACAGGTACTAAGTTCTGGTGTCTTACGTATTGATATATAATTAGTCTTATTGGATATGAAGTATTCCGTAGAGCATTCACCGTGTATACCAATCTGATAAGAGATGTAAGAGAAAATTTTTTCTTTTTTTCTTAACTATTATATGAAAACTCTTTGCAGTTGAATGCTGACCTCGTCTACTACAAATGCGCCCGACTTTTTGATTTGGAATTGCAGCATTGCGGCAATGGCTCGTTTAAAATTTGTCGACCATATGGGATCCGCTTCTTTGAAAAACAAATGAGAGACGCTGCCATCTGGTTTCAGTACAATCTTGAATGGCTTATAAGCCGGATACATTTCCTTATTTTGCAAAAACTTTTCACCCGAGTTATTAAGCGTAACATCGTCAATAACAAGCTAAGAAGAGACAAGTATTTACACATTTATTTCATTAAATTTCAATATATTTTCTTTACTTCGTAACTTTCTAAATAATAAACTGTGAATAAACTTTTTTAATCTTCAGGTACCTTTTCTGTCGAGCTTCTTGCAGAAGATGCCGTTCATGTTAATAAAACGTCGTAAAAGTGTTATATGGTCACCTTATTACACCCAATGCTAAAGGATCGTGATTATATTCCTTTCGTTAAAACGTTTACAAGACCCAATGTCAAATTTTACGCTTATGTGGACACGTCCGTCTATGCAATGTCTGTAAGGAATATTCTCTTATTCGCAAAACTCATAATATCGCCTTGAAGTTCGTCAAAAACTTTAGGAGTTCTTGTATGAACATGGTTTTGAAACTGGACTGAAGCAGTCAAAAGTCAAGTGTGCCGTTCAACATCAACCGAAACCGCCTCTGCATTTTGACTCGTTCACTCATCACACGTATATACCAAAGCAATTACAAAGCCGTAAATTTCCACCCATGTTCTATAGGTCATCCTACTGCACCTCTAAGAAAATTGAAATATTTGGCCATGCCCACCACCAGTTCAAACGTCCGAGGGCCAGCACAGACTAACTAAAGGCCGATGCTTTAGAACAGATTACAGACTCGCCCCTAACTACCGTAGGCCGATATTGAGCTCGACCAAGCGAAGATAATCGTTTTTCAAAACAATGACTTTTATTCTAAGGTGATCGGACGTGAAATATTGGCAGATTGGAATTAATCATCCTCAAGCGTAGCTACATTCGATTTTTTCTATCTATCCTTGCTTCCGAGATACCAGTGATCTAAATACCTAAACACGTATCTATATCAATTTGCGTAGATTGAACGCATTTTTTGTGGAATTTTCTTAGCCGCACAAATCAAGATAGAAAGCGGATATAATTAATTGCTGAACAAATATTATAATTCAAATTCGGATTGCAATTGATAAAAGTCTGCTAGCGATCAAGTGAAGTATGAAATTCAATCGAAAAATTTATTCGGAAACATAGTTGAATTGAGTTTGTAGATAGATGCAATGTATGCTTGGGTCACACTTTCTTGAGAATACCTCCACTGGATCGTAAGTTGCAGGCAAAAGTAAGAAGAAGATTGCTTTAGAATTTTGTCTTCTACAGGCACGACTTTAAGCGCCTAAGCAGCCATGTAGGCAAAACACGCGCCTGCCAAGTCAGTCTTCACATGTTTAAATCTCAAGAGCTGTAGAGTATTCTCTGGTTGTAGCCATGATGAGTGCTTAGTCCGTGAAGGCATAACAGAACGATTGAACACAAACTCACTCGGCTGCGGCGAATGTCTCCCTAGTTCATCTTCTTTTCTCTCTTCTTTCTGACAGTCACCATGTCACACGAATAGGAGACATTCTCTCCTCTCACATATTAAAAAAAAAGAAAACACAAACGAAGGCTTTGTCAGACAGATGGCATAACTGCTCGTCACTGCTTTTGTTGTTCCCCATTTTTTCTTTAGCGAATCAAAGTATAAAGTAACTGATCTATATGCATAGTCATTGCCTTTGGCATAAGTGTATTAGTGAGAGAAAGAGCATATATTCATAATCTGTGCTTGAAAAGTGAAAGTAATAAGCAAAGACATGTGTGTGGTTTTATGCTCTGCATTATCACAAATTGCTTTTTCTCTCTCTCAGAATTTTTAGACAAAAGATAGAGAAATATCGCACGCAAAATCGTCATGAATACATATACACATATATATACATAATAATTGCCATGGACATGTTGCAAAGTATTTTACATTGTACCTGTGTTTATTAGTAAGTAAGTGTTGTTTCATACTGAAGGCATACGCGTTTCCAGCATTCTTCTGTTTACATACGTTCTGTTTTATCTAAAGGGAATTGTCATAGGAAATGTGCATGCACATGAAGATCATTATATTGTAAGGGAGCATTTTTAATCGACTTTAAAGTGTATGTTCCCTATGGAGATATGGGAACAGCTGTTTGTAATGATGATAAGAAATCCGCGTGTGAACGAAAGAGACGGAAACCGATGGAGGAAAGAAGCAAAAAGAAAAAAGGGAATAAATCTGTCGGAGGTTTTTTGAAGAGCGAGAAACGATTTGAAATTCTGAACTATGCATTATTGAGCTCTTATCAGACATATATGAAGTTCTTTTGTGTGCATGTGCTTGTTATTAATAATAAGATGGTGATAAAAAGAAGGCAAGCAAGCAACCAAACAGACAAATCTTTTCGTTGATGATTACATTTTTTATTTTTTTTTTTATTTTACTTTTTTCCGATGCTTTCATTTAAATATGTATAAAATATATTATGTATTATATATGTATATGTACGTATATATGTATCATATCGTAAAGGGTCAATTATATATTTTACAGAGAATCATTCCACGGAATATTGAGAAGAAAATACAAAACCAAAAATGATAAATGAATTGATTTAAAAAAAAGCGGTGACCCCATCATCAATCATCAATCAGTCAATTAATCGATTTAAGTTAAAGTTATGATAGAAAAACAAAAAAAAAAATTCTAATTGATTTAATTGATTATTAAAATAGTGTACGTGTGTGTAATTTGCGATTACATTATTTTTTAATTAGAGGGATATGGAAGAGCAAATCGGAAAAATAATACTTTGCATATACATGTATATACGCCTACATATAAGTGTGTGTGTGTTTGTGTGTAAAAGAAATCAAAATAATGTTTTCCTGTTCAAAAAAAAAAAGAAGTACTTACTGCGGCTGCCAGAGTGCTATTGCTTTGTCTTTGTAACGTTAATTTGCCCCGCACAATCCAACCGGAAGTCGGCGGTGCTGGCAATTCTTCGTCTTGCGGTGCTTTTGCCCCCACATGTACCGTTCCCACGTACTCATACAGCATTTGCTTATTTATGTTAATGATATTAAAGGCAAGTAGCGGGGCGGGCATGATGAGGAACAAATCTATAACGAATTTAATGTAATTTTTTTTTTTGTTTTTTCTTTTGTTTTTTGTTTTTACTAAATACATGAACTTAACTCAGATTTATTTTGTAAATATTTAGATTAAACTTATTTTTGAAATTCGAAACTTAACAATTTTCAAATGGGAAAGGGAAAGAATATATATATATATATGTATGTTTGTACATATATATAAATATCTTTTTTTTATTTTTGTGTTGTATTTAAGATTTGTTTGAAGATGTGTTCAAAAAGAGGCGAATTTTGTAAAACAAAAGTATAAAAATAAGTGGAGAAAAATCATTATTGCTTTGGTAGCGTTATTCACATATTCAATGAATTTATAATAAATTAATGTTTTTTTTAATAAATTTTCTTCAATGATATTAAATAAATAAAACATTATTATATATTATTTCGAGATAATTTTACTCTTCTTTTCATTAAAAAAACATTCTTTATGCTTAAAAGAATTTATTTGTGTCATAGTCTATTTATTTTAAACCTAAAATGATTTTTTGGGTCTCTTCTTTTTTCTTCTTCTGCTTCTATTTCTTTTTTCCTACTAAAATCTCGAGTTATTCGGGCTTTTATTTTACAAAATAAAAAGGTAATTGCTTTTTACTTTAAAAATTATACATAAATATATATAATTATAATATATTATTATTAAATATATATTAAATATATATTTATAAAAATTTTAAATATAAAATTTATTTTTTCAATTTTACATACACACTAATACTGAGTACTGATAATGCTTCATGTTAAAAATATATCACCGAAAAAAAGAAAACAAAAAAAAAAAAAATACGATTTGGAATATTTTTCGATACTTAAATTTTCGTTAGTTTTGAACGACGACAACAACCAACGAAATAATTACTGATAACACTTCGCAACAATGTTTTTGTATTTAGGTCGTTGTTTGGTAAAAAAGATTTCCACGAAAAAAAGAGCTTCAACTTGACTATTCTTTTTTTTCTTCTTCGTTTAGCATATATATATGTACATATGTATATATTTATGTATATGTTGTAGAGATTAAGAAACATAAACTATTTATTATATGAAAATAATTTTTAGGCTTAATTCTGATTTATATTTTGAAAAATATCGCGTCCGTTTTATTCGCAATCTCAACGCGTACTGATCAGTGATTGTTAGTCAAAGAAGTCGAACTAAGTTACTCGTATAATTAATTATCAGCATACAGTTCCTTTAGCTTAAGAAGTACTCTTCGCAATTTTTAAGAGAGTTTTGTCTGTTTTTTTAATTAAATTTTGTTTCTTTTTTTCCTCTCATTTTTTTAGTTCACATCATTTTTTCGTAGCTGTACGTGTTTCCTTTCGTATTTAGTTCATGTTATTGACCTTTCGTAATTCATATTATTTAAAATGGTCGAGAAGGGCTAAGTTTCTCTCGCCTGATCTTTGCCTTTAATATGACACATCTTCAAGTTCATGTGTATGTTATAAAATTGCTCGCAATTATTATGTGATAGATATGAAAATGTGCAGTAGTTATGTGGCGTGAAATCACTTACCAGCCGGAATGGCGCGCTGATATATAAATATATGAGAATTGTCGAGTCTACTGAAGGAAAAAGCAAAATGCAGCAAAATTGTTTAATGACAGTTGTCTTTTTTCTTTTCACTTCATACAGTTCGGCGACACCAGCCATCAAATTTTACTTATAGAATCAATTTTCTATTTGAATATTTGTAATTTTCTAAAAATTTTTCATTTTCCTTTATCATCGTAATCCATTTATCGAAGGGTATTAGTATTTTGTGATGATGAAATTAATCGTCATCTTCTCGAATTTGCTCAGAAAAGACCGATTGTGGTATTAGAAAAAGATCTTTACATAAATATTTTTTTAATAATTAATTCAATACCCAATGGATTGGACTTCAAATTTGAACACTGACGCCATAATGGCACTTATAGGATTTTCTTAAGAGACAGCCTTAAACTAAGCTCTCATTACATATTCTCTTTTAAAGAAGGCAAGTCATATTTTCAATTATATATATTTAGAATATATGAACAAAAAAAATTTTTTGAATAAAAAATGTTTGTATTGCTATTTTATAGAAATATTAGGGCTTTATTGTAGTAAGCTGGATTTATTTCTAGAAAATTTTTTTATATTAATTGTAAAAGATATTTCTCTTATGTATATGCGCTTTTCCAGCATAAGGCCAGATCATAAATTTACATTTAGGAATTTTATTTTGATAAAAAAGAAAACGTAATACTACGCAATAAAATCTGAAACCATTCCACCCTTATTTACACTAGTTTGCGCCACCATGGGCATGCCCTGCTCTCGAAATTGCGTTTACGTTTTCGCCCCCGCTACCATTTGATGAATCTTCTTGCGAATCTTTATGGATTTCAAGATTTTTTAGTTGCTCTTGCCACATACCCGCGTAAAGACCGCCGTCACGTTGCAACAAATCGTCGTGGCGACCTTTCTCAGCTATCATGCCATCTTTGAGAACTAAAATTTCATCAGCATTAATGATGGTCGAGAGACGATGCGCTATAACGATAGTGGTTCTGTTAGCACAGACACGACTCAAAGCTGCTTGTATATTACGCTCGGTATGAGTATCTAAGGCTGATGTGGCTTCATCCAATAGAACCATTATTGGTGATTTCAATAAAGTGCGAGCTATAGCGACTCGTTGTTTCTCTCCACCGCTTAATCGCAAGCCCCTTTCGCCCACTTTTGTCTCGTAACCGTCGGGAAAACTACGAATGCGTTCGTGTATATCAGCCAGACGAGCAGCTTCATAAACTTCAGCAGAATCGGCTCCAATATTACCATATTGTATGTTATAAAAAATGGTGTTATTAAAGAGCACCGTGTCTTGAGGCACAACACCGATGGCTTGTCTTAAACTTTGCTGAGTAACAAGTTTAATATTCTGACCGTCGATTAGTATACATCCCGTTTGTACGTCGTAAAATCTAAACAATAACCTTACAATAGTGCTTTTACCGGCGCCAGAAGGTCCTACAATAGCTACAGTTTTTCCCGACGGCACTGTAAAGCTAACATTACGTAGAACGGTTTTCTCGGGTGAATAGCCGAAGGTAACATTGCTGAACTCGATGCTACCACCAGCTGTTAGAAGAGGAACACTGCCAGGAGCGTCTACAATTTCCTCTTCCTCTTTAAGTAAATCGAACATATTTTCCATATCGACAAAATTCTTTTGTATGGCTCTATAATAAGTCCCGAACCAATTCAATGGCATATATAAATCCATCAAATAAGTAAAGAATAAAACGAAGTCGCCTACAGTCAAAGTTTGATGATGAACAACTAAATATATACACAACATAGAGCCAGATAGCAGACCCAAACACAATATTACGTTCTGTGAAGTGTTTAAGATATTTAAAGTGGTGAGACTTAGGAATTCCTCTTTCTAAAATGATAAAGTTCGAAATTATAAATAAATATTCAATATTTAAAAAAAATTGTTACTAACTTGATATTTTAAAATAGCCTCTCGATAGGCTTTAACTTCATATTGTTCGGCCCCATAATACTTAACGGTTTCAAAATTTAATAAGGAATCTACACTACGGGCTCTTTGCTCGTTGTCAGCTAAATTCATACGCCTTTGGAATTTTGTTCGCCATTCAGTTACCATAATAGTCGCCACTGAAACAAGCATGTTTATCAATAATTTTTTATGCGAAATTTTCTCAATACTTACAGATATACAAGAACATAGTTAAAAATACAATCAAACCGAACCACCAATTAAAAGCGTAAATGAAAAATATCACAGCTACTAACAAGTCCGCTATGGTTGGAGCGATCGAAAACAATATATAATTCAACAAGTTATTAATGGAATCGGTACCACGGTCCATAACACGCAAAACTTCCCCAGTTTTACGTTGCAGATGCCAGCGTAACGACAAATGATGTAAATGTTGAAACAAATCCACTTGAATTTCTCGTGTCGTATATTGTTGAACTCGTATCCACAAAAACGAACGTAAATTGTTAAATAAGCCCATGGAGCCGGTACCACCGCCTTGGATGAATGACAAACCCACATATATTAAAACGAAATCCCAACGGAATGTTATGGGTTCGATCGTCAAACTGTCCACTAAAATTGTGTAAAAAATACGTTTGCGTTTTTTTTTTTAACTTTTCACACAAGTAACTGACCTAATTTTTTTCGATATATAGGTAGAAAGAGTTTCACAACACGTCCGCCAACTAATAGCAAGAGACAAATCACAACCGATATTTGTAAAAATAGCTCTTTTTTCGGCCACAAATAAGGGAAAAGCTTACGAAGCTTTTTGAAAGCGTTACGAAACGCTGAACCGGTTTGTATGTTATCCGTGGTGTTTCTTTGCCTTTCTTCGTCCCACTCCGGTTGCGAGTTGTAGGGGAAAGTGATGCCTGGCGCTTTAAGCCCCAGCACAAAAATTAGCAAAGCGGTTATATAACGCGTTATAAACAAACCCATTTCAATTTCATCCTTACGGCTAATATAGAAATTGATCAAAAAATCATTAGAGCTTTGCATAGTCACTTTTGACAAAACTTACGTTTTCATGTGAAACCACCAATCCTCATGTTTCAAATTAATAAAAGCCAACGACTCATTAATGAAAGCCAATGTCCAGAAAACTAACAAAATCAAGCCATGACCTCGTGTTGGTACTGACGGCAGCTGATAGTGTCGCTCTTTTAAAATCAAACACACAGAAAATGGATATGCCAGACATATCAATATGGTAGAAAGTATCTGCATATATGAAATATGTAGATATGAAAATATACAATTCCCAAATGGTTAAAAGAACAAAATTTATCAAATGTATTTATGCAAAAGTGATGGAATTTATTTAATCTATGTGCACGGAACCAAATTTGTATATTTTGAGAAGAATTTCTCCCGCTATTAATAATTACACAGTTCAACATTATTCCAATAAGAAATGTGTAATTGTTTGATTTGCCTATTCAGAAGAGGAGTACTCTAGTTCGATTTGAGACATTTGCTGTCAACTTTACTTATTTGGAATTTTTTACTCCTCCTCCGACTATAAAAATCCACAAGTTTAACTGCGTTAATCTTACGCAGTTAACTGTGCAGTTAATGGCATAATTATTCCCCTTTTTGTTTTCCTCTTAGACCGAGTATGCGTTCTTTTTAATGATTATGATTATGATAAGGAAACGAATATAATTTTCGCAAGTTTATCAAACTCACCATATAACCATAAATAGCACTATCCGTATATATGCTGGCATTTAAAATAAACCGTATTAATTGCAAAATTGGGAAAAGGCATATCAAAAGTAATTGCAAGGCATATAAGCGTGATCTGGATATAAGTGTAGGATCCGTTATACGAGTGGCATATCTATGATACATTAATAATTGGATGCCACCGGAAATTAAAATAAACCCACAGCATATAGCCGCGCCAACAGTATCCATAAAACAATGAGAAATGCCATGATTAATCCAGATTTGAGAGAAGGTTACATTAGGCGGACAATATAACATGATTTGTCTATTTATCTGAAAAAAAGAGATAAATATGAACTCAATAGCAAATATATTCAGTTTATGCCAAAAACACCTCACTAATTAAATATAAGGGAGTTCAATAGTTAGTTAGCTAAGCAAAATCATATTCAGTCAACATATCCTATATATCGTCTATATGTTTTAAAACAAATTGGCAGCAACTTGTAGATAATCGCGCAAAAAATAGAAAAGATATTAACCCCAGCTGTCTTTAGCTACAAATCGTATGAATATTGCGAGGTGAGTCCCTATTCCGATATAGTATTTCTTTGAATTACCAAAAAATTTTAGATAACATGTGTTTTTTTGGTTTGCATAATTACCTACGACATGTTAATAAGGCTTTATAAGATGATATAATATATGGTATCATAGATGTATTAATATAATTTGTCTTTAGTCTATCTAGCTATCAAATAGTGTACGCAAATGTTTATGGAACGATTCGGCTTAAATTGAATATGACGTCTTTCTTGCGTGAAGTTTGTTTTTTCACAAAATTAACGCGAGTACCTAATATTGTCATCTTTTATGACTAGGAATGTAAATAATACTTCATTATGATTAGTTGCAATTACTTTGTAAAAGCAACGCAAGATAAGTAATCGTACGGTGCATACACGAACGAACGCTTATATGCGTATAGTGTGTAAATAAATTTTCTTTGAAGATTAGTTGAAAATTTATAATACTAGTCGGTATTGTAAATTTTATTATTATGGTATCAAGAAGTTACTAAAATTAGTAGAATATTATCGCGAAATTTTTTCATTAAACATATTTTTAAGGCTTCCTATTCTTTTCGCCGACTAATAGGTTGTAAGAAGACATATAAAAAAGATGATATTCTTACTGGCGGTGTCTTCCACACTTTAATGAAAGTTACGGCCCGTTTTCGATGTTATGATCCTCTCATTAAATAAAAAAAAAAGTTAAAGTTTTAATTATGTAATCCAATAACGATGAATTGCATATATTTAAAAACGTAGTTAAAACGTATCTTCGAAAAAATTAATATTTTTCACTGTCTTTTAAAATAATCTTTTAAGCAATTTTTTAATACAACTCCCGTTCACAATATTAGCGATTCCATTGATTTTTGCTTTCTAATTGTTACAAATCAACGTCAATATGAAATTGTTATTGTTTTTAACATTTGATATTATTAGAAACACTTGAACTGAAACTTGACATCACTGCGTTGATGACCACAGCTGTACAGCAGAGCTGCCAAGAGTTGCATAAATCTTATACTTTGGATTTACGTTTAATTTCTTTCATTTTAAGATATTTTAATTTCAAATTACAAACGTATTGAGACACACGCCAACTTCATACAAAAGATCAGTTAGTTTTTGTTCTCTTTTAAAATTAATTTCGGAAAAAGAGAAAATTTTGCTTTTTTATGGAGTTTTTTGCCAAAAATGCAAAAGAGCTGTGCTTCGCATGCATCAGTTTTGTTTACACATATGAAGGAAATTTAAAGAAGTCTTTTTAGATAAAATTGTTAAGAAGGAAAAAGGTATTAAATTTCTCCCGCTTGTTCTTGTTAATACATTTCCACTTGCAATATGATTGTAAATGAAAAACAAATATTATTTTCGAGTTGATTTTTCATATTTTTCTCGTTTAATGCCAGGGTTTTACAGTTTTTTATTGATTTATTTATTTTTTTTTTAGGGGAAAATCTTGAAAGGAACATTTATCATTAAAATTTTTAAAAAATATTTTCATCTTATTTGTTTTATGAAACAAGAAATACTGTTTTTGTCACTTCTTCGTTAACGCTAATTTATATGTAATTATTATTAATTTTAATTAGGTCGACATCTATAAATAGTTTTCTTAACTCTAAAAAGCTTGATTATTCACAATTTCAATTTGAACTCAAATAAGTTAGATCGAAAAATTTTTAAATAAAAAGAAAACGCAAATATTTCTTTAGGATTTTCTTTTGGTACTTTCTTTTAATATTCGCTTAAATTCCTTAGATTATGCTATGAGTTTATTTTGGCTAATAATGGCTGCGTAACTGCGGTACTGTTACTATGATGATGGGCGTGGTGGGAATGAAGATGATTCAGATGATGACTACGATCATTGTTACTATTGTTATGAATAAAATTTTCCGTAATTTCGTCTTCTTCGGGGCTGGCAAATTCCTCTCTTTCCCCTCTGCTATTATGAGGCATTTGCGCATTCGACTTCTTGTTAGGTATTGTAATAAATTTTTTTACATTATTTAAGCTATTGACATTTTCATAATGCCTATCGTCGCTGGCGTTGATCACATTCATATTAAGCGTTAGCGGGGTTTCGTGAGGAAAATCTAATGGTATTGTACTATTATTCACAGATTTGCTTTCCTTAAATTTTTCATAATTTTGTTCCAGAGGGCTTATGGCTTCTTCAATCTGTTCCTCTTCTCGTTCTTCATGTGTTTCTTGTGGCACCAAATTTTGGCCGTCTTCGCTGCTTTTTGTCCCATTCGGAATAATTCGATTAGTGTTATTCATGCTACCTATCGAATCGTTATTGTTATTCATTGCACTCGCAATAGTAGAGGAGTTTTTTATTTTTAATTTTGCAGATATAGATTGTGAGTTACTTAGATTGAAATTTGACTGAGTAGAAGACAGTTGCGAATAGCCTTGCAATTTAGCGTTTGCATGAGTTTTTAAAGTGCCCGATAGAGGTAAACGAAAATTCGCCATTTCCCAATTCGTATCTCGAACGCTGTCTTCTCTGAAAGAACGGCTGCTGTGAATGTCGTTGGCTAATGGGCGTAAATGACTTGTTGGAATTTTGCCATTGGGATTCGTTCCGAAATTGTAATAGAAATCTTCAGTCTTAAATTCTGCATCATTAAGTTTGGGCGAAGATGAGGAAATCTTACGCTTTACTCTTAAGTTAGGGGAATTGTGATAACTGAAGTTGGCAATTTTCTCATTATATTGCTTACTCGTTAAGCCATAACGTGGATTTTGTTTTAATGAACAGCGTCGCGAAATCATTAGTTTATCTGTTAACAGCGGAGATTCCGTTTTCGCTATTTCACCTTCCAGCCAGTAAGTTAACATCTCGCCCTTACCTTTCATAGGCACATAACCTCTACGTGTTGTTACGAAACTTTCAAATTCATCTAAAGCCAGTTTCGTTTTTTCACTTATGTGTATTTTTAAAGCTTCACCATTCGATTCCATTCTGGAGGCAGTATTTACCGTATCGCCGAATAAACAATATCTTGGCATTTTTAAACCGACAACGCCGGCCACGCAAGCACCAGTATGTAAACCGATACGCAGTTTTAAACGGTCATTAGGACGATGATGAATTTTAAAATTGTGGACAGCTTCCAGTAAGGCTAAAGCCATTCGCGCTATTTCGGGGGCATGTTTATTGTCGTTACGTATCGGTAAACCGGAAACAACCATGTAGGCGTCACCAATAGTCTCCACTTTATAGACATCAAAATTTTCAACAATTGAATCAAAGCAGGTGTAGAGATCATTTAGAAATTGTACAACTTGCATAGGTGTGCTTGAGGCCGAAATCGCGGTAAAACCAACAATATCGCTGAAATAAATCGTGACCTGATCGAAAAATTCAGCCACTACCGGCTGGCCACTTATCAACTGGGCTGCAACACTTTGTGGTAAAAGCTGATAAAGCAACTTTTCACATTTCTTTTTCTCTTCCAAATAATCCTGAGTGCGTTCTTCAACCAGTTCTTCCAAGTTATTTGCATACTGTTCCATACGTTTTAGGAGATTATCAACAATATTACCAGTTTCATTGTCTCTGATGAGGTTAAGGAGGAAAACGGGTAAAAAAAGATCACTTTTACTTAGTATTTAACTTACTTGTTAATATTTCTGATAATCGTTTTCAAAGCATTAAAATCTGGCCGTTCATTAGGTTCTTCGGACCAACACTTTTGCATTACACTGTTGATTTCTTTGAAATCAGGCGATATATCCACCAATTGCGGTCGAAAAGGGGACTGCATTAAGTGTGGATAGCCTTTTATCAAATGGATGATTTCTGCAATAAATAATGAATTAAAAGTAACCAACTAACAATTCGCGGTGATTTGAACTTATATGTGAGCTCTCTTTGATTCAAATTTTAGATGAATATTATTTTTAACTATTAATTGGGCTACGTTATCGCTACCATTTAAAGGGAATCCGTTTTATAGATTGTTATAGGTTATATATAATTCTTCCTCATTCCCTCACAATAATTTATTCATTAAGGGTCCTTATCTAACACAATTACAACTGACATTAATGTCAACTCTTCGTTTAGCTTAATTCAATAAAGTCAAGTGTCCTACAGAGCGATTAATTTTTGTCGGTTTAAATGGGACCGTGCTATATGAAACTTGGAATTAATTCAACTCTGGAGATGCGTTCTACGGAAATCCCGTTAAGAGACAAATAGAATTGTGATAGATCAGATTAAAGTATACCGCGTTATAGCGAAACCGTGTTTTATGAAACTTAGAATCAATTCAACTCTGGAAATACGTTCAATCAAGATAGATGAAATCAGGCTATATTGGGATAAAATCTACCGCGTTTTGTGAAAATCGTGTTATAAAACAATCGGTATTAATATGATATAAACGAATTCGTACGACTTTATATAGGACCTGAGGACTTTATCTAGGAGTAACAAATGAAAAGAAAGTAATGATTTACTTTTTCCGCCATTCCCTGCTAACTGTGACAGTGGCACCAGCCACAATGCTCACATATTAATTAGTAATCTCCTTCCATTCGTATATCGAAATAAGGTCGACAAAATCAATCTCTCATACTATTTTACTATGACAACACTACAATCGATTCTTAAGAAATGTACTCCTCCGATTTGCAATTGTGGACAAACACACACACTGAAGACTTTTCAATATTCGAAGTCTCACTTCTGGAGCATCTAATCCTATGGATTTCTCGAAAACACCTGGAGAACTAGACTAAACATTTACTCAATCTTTTTCAAAAAAGAGGAGTCAATAGCCGTGGTAGTTGGCTGGTAGTCCTCATCTTCATATCTTTCAGCCCTGGAACGTATATTTTCGTTCTAAATAAATTATAATGACAATAATAATATTTACATGTATTATTTGAAAATTTCAAATTTAGAGAAATTAATCAGAAACTTTTTGATGTTAAAATTCATTTCAAAAATCCTCTCGTAAGAAATTGTTTCCATTTTTTTTTATTATTATATCATATTAATGAAAATAAAATGTGGTGCGTTAGATCCAATCAATTCCTTTAAGGCATTTTCTCCGTGTCGTTATTATTGTTAAAAATTTTTCAAATATATTCGGCAAATAAATAAGTAAATAAATAAATAAAAGAAAAAGAAAAAAAAAAACAAAATAAAAAATAATGTCTAAAAAATCGTCATGTATTTTGCGTCGTAATATATTGCAAAATTATTTGAATGATCCAGTAACGGTGAGTGTCCTACAAAAATGTTTGAGAGAAAAACATAAAAATCTGCAAGGAAATGCGGGGACGCAGCCTACGATCAGTAATCATTCAACGACGACTGTCAACTCTACTTCCAAAGAGCAAATCCGCAAGAAAGCTGGGTTTCATTTTAACATGAATCGCTTGTGGCAGTATGATGCGATAGACCACAAACACACTCATCGTTATCCAAACTATCATGTTAATCATAACATTTCCCATCATATTTGCCATCATCAGCATCAGCATCAGCATCAGCAACACTATCAGCCTCAACAATTTCCAATCTTTCATAAACCTCATCGTTTAGTTGTGGTGAATACATCTCATGGTTTACGCCTCAAGTACATTGAAAAATTATCCAAAAAGTCGCAACGTCTCAAAGTGCCGCATTTAACAGACGAAGAAACATTCGGAACAATAACGGATACGAAAGGGCACGATCACCATGAATTACGGATGATAAAACCAACGCAAAGAGTAGGGTCGTCACGAAGTAAACCGCATACTTCTCCCGACACTGTGTCGGAGAATTTTTTGCATACAAAAAACATTAATACAAAGACTGGACGAAGTACTGCGAATACGAGATTATCGGAAGAGTCACCTGCGCAAAGAATTGAAGCAAACGAAAAGAGGAAAAGGGGAAGAGAAGCAGCAAATGACTTAAGTGCAAATTACTTGAGATTTTTCAAACCGAGTAAGTTTTAAACTGTAGGAAGTTTTTTTTTTTTTGATTGTTTTTTGTATATTTGACAACTTGTAGAGCTTTGTCTCGTTTTGATCTTTTTAGAAAACTGCTTGGTGTGGTCGCAATTTTCTTCCTTTTTAAGAATTTTATTTTCAATTCTATCTAAGTATAAGACGTTGGATGAAGTATAAGTATATCCTTCTTTCTAACTTTAATTTTTGAAGCAGCTTTGCCTCTTTTAGTGGACTTTCAAGCGAAATGTTAAAATAAGAAATTTTTTCCTTTTAAGAATATTTCTTTTGACCATTTATCGTAGTACGATATATTAAGTTAGTGCGAGTGTACGTAGCACTTGGTAAGGTTCTTCAGTCAGTTTCATTGGAAAGAAACAAGTGAATGAGTTTTGTTGGCATGTCATCTGATGATTTCGTTTTTATTAGATTGTTTTAAGGGAATCTCTTCCGTGCCTAAGAGTTTTGTGGTACACCATAAAATTGGTTACAAAAACAACATCGCACAACAATCAGGCAAATCGGTTGATCAAAGACTCTATACAGCTTTGCAATGGCTTTTTGAAGTGATTGTAAAAACGTTACGATTCAATCCATTTCCATTTTCCATCTTGTGCTTTCACCAAGCTATGTCAGTTTTTCAAATCTCATCAAATACATATCTCGAGTTAACGACCGAAAGTCAATGTAGATAGACAGACGGCAAATTAAAGAAATAAACAACCATTTTCTAAATCGATGAGCATAAAATAAAAGCCAATGAGATTTTTCTTAATTTAAATCTTTGTGCTAAGACCAGGTGCACCGTGGTTGATTTTGATTACCTATAGCAATTACATTACATAGCGCAAACTTATATGTATATATTTTTAATTTCTCTATATATAACATAGTAAATACTATCAAGTCTAGTAAGCCGAATGACCGAGATATCATTTTCGGTAATGCTTGTCTTCTATTGCGTAAACATCATTGCGGTTGGGAGAAGTCACGCATTGAATGGCTGCTGCAATTAGAATGCAACTATGAAGATGAACAAACGAAATCTTGTTATCAACCACAAGACAATAAAAGCAATCAGAGCGCAATAAATTTAAGGAAATTGTATAATAAGAAAAAGTTAGCAGAAAAACAAGAAAAGCTATCTTTAAAAAATGAAAGAAGAAGAACATCTACCAAACTAATACCGCCAAGAAGTGCGGTCAATACTAATTGGAAGGAACAGCAAACCAGCTTATCAAATATTTGCTGTTTACCATTTCTCAAGTGGCTTAGCAACTGACCTAACTATTGTAACGAGCAAAAAGAGAGCCTCTCCTTGGACTAAATATTTATAAAAAGAATAGAATTAAGTTTTGTATTTTTATTTGTTCTGCACTTAAAGAATGGTTATTGTCGTATATAAAAATTGAAGGCAATGAATTAAATATCAATTATTATTATTTCATAAAAATTTAAAATATTTGCAAAAAAAAAAAAAGATTAAAAATTGAGTAAAACTTCTCTATTATAAAATACGCGAATGGCTTTTTTTCGCTTGTCTAACATTAAAAGCGCATACAAAACTCTTTGCCTACTTGTAAGCGCTTAGGGATGAAAATAACCATAATCTACATTTCGGGTTAAATTAATTTTATTTTAATTTTTGTTTGCCTAAATATAATTTCCAAACTTCTTCTTTTTGCATTCTTGCAATATTTATATATTTATAGGCAGAGATTCCCAAACTAACTTACCTTCAGGCGATTTCTCGTCTGTCAATTTACCCAAATAGAATGGACCTTGACGTGTCGTTATCTCATGTATAATAATAGCAAACGAGTAGACATCACCTTTTTGCGTTCCTTCTGGCGGCCGTTGATCCCCCATTTTGAGCAATTCCGGGGCTGTCCATAAAAGTTCTAAAGCACAAGGAAAATTTTATAAAAGTGCTTTGTTGGAACAAAACTTGTTTTCTATTAACGTTGTTGAAATTTTTAGCGGATTTCAAAAAAAAAAAATAAATAAAAAAATATGTGTACAGTTTAGAAGCACATATCTTCTTCCACAATATTTCGAGATCTCTAAAAATTTCTATATTTTTGAATTCAAAATTATTTTTATTTTTTTTGTTTAAGAAATTTTACTTACTACTCCAATATGCATGACTGTTGCAGTTTTCGACATCGCTGCATTGATCCTCATTACGTCGCGTTCGCATTGTATGCAAACCGAAATCGCAGATTTTCAATACAAATCTAGAATCGACCACACAATTGGATGATTTTAGATTTCCATGCGACTTAATATCGGAACTATGTAAAAATTGCATGCCTCTGACAATATCATGCATAAGTGATAGTTTAAACATCCAATCAAGCTGGAATTGCTCATTTTCTAGAATGTCTTGCAAAGAGCCCTTCGGACAGTATTCGGTTAAAATGAAACTTTTCGTTGGATCCAAGCAGGCACCGTAGAATTTTACCAAATGATCATGTTGCAAATCTTTCATTCGCTTCAGTTCCAGCATTAGAGAGCGCGTTAAGCTTATATTGTTATTAATGGTTTTGATTGCTACTTTGCAACCCCGATAAAAACCCACAGGTATGAAAATTTGACGATCACCACCACTTAAAGAGTTCATGTCGTCAGACATTAAAGTCATTTGTGAACTGTGCTTAACTAAACAATACAAAGAGCCACGAAGGCAACGTCCCGCTGAATTATGACAAATAACTTCATCGATATTAATTTTCCAAGCCATTGAATTGATTTCTGCTTCGGATTTATAATGGCGATAACTGACAAAAAAGCAAACGCTTATTATAATAACAACTACGCCAAGTATTAAGGAAAGTATAGCGTAACCCGGTAATGCTGAGTAATTTTTGAAAAAAAAAACAAAAACAAAATTTGATTTTATTAATTTTAATTGCATTTTTTTTTTTTTTTTTAAACGAACTTACAACTTTCTGGACATAGGGTCCCGTCGTAACCGCAAACAGGGCTGTCGTCGGGCGCTTTTGTTCGATTCCCGGCCCAATGTATTTTATTTACAAATTCCAAAACATTTTGCTGGAAATGGGCGACTATCTCAAAACGACCCGTTTCGGGATTCATGTCCAGGAGCGAGTAGGCAGATATCCGATCTCCATTAGCATCGATGGTCACGTTGCCCGTAATGCCCTTGAAACTGCGATTCCACATACGTCGCACCATTTCTGTGCCATTGATGGGACGATTTAATATCGTCGGATCATCCCGTATACTATCGTTCAAAGCACTGGCGTATAATAGAACGCCATCGTAAAATGACGTTACAAAAGCCGAGATTGGTTCATTATTATGAAATGTGTAATTGTATCTAGATGCCGCTATAGATTTAATCTGTTAAGACAAAGGAAGGAAAATCATCAATTAATTTTGCTTTAAACCAAATCGACTCCTTGTCGTAGTTTGGATTGTTGATAGGTGAAATGTTATAGTGAATTGTTAGAAACTTGTGGTGACTTAAGAGATTAAGAAAAACACTCAGCAAGAAAACTTAATTGTTGTTTTACGAGATATGAGATCATGAAAAAGTACTATCTCGAGGTGTTACATAACAACATTTATTTCAGTTTTTTGAAAAGATCCAGTTTTACCCTTTTCTGAGTAATTGGCAAGAAAAGTGCTGACGTGTGAGAAGGAGTGATGAAGAAACGCGGTGCTGGCCAACGAACGCCGTCTAAAATGGTACTGAACACTGTTTTCCTGTTAAATTTGACGAAAGAGATACTCACGAAAATCCATAACGGAAAACACTGTTATATCGATGGGTAGACGAAACCGGTGGTGAAGCTGAATATTTTGCTATTTCCATTTGCTGAGAAAGGGCCACGCCACGATAACCCTACGCGAAAGCGATCGTGATACTGATCAGCAGAAGAAACCGAATACCGGTTATCGGCTGGTTAATGGACATAGCTGGTGTTGAAGCCGAATGTCGTTGTTGCTTCTATTTTGTGAAAAAAGAATACGCTACGATGACCCGAAGTGAGAAAACCTTGAAACTGTTCCAGGGATGAAATAGTAAGCCTAATATGCTTGACATCGCAAGCTTCAGTGCATTATAAACAGCTACGATTCAACGAAATCATCACTAGGAAATACTGCGGTCAACAGATGGCGTAAATTGCCTGAAAAGCAGAACGGGGAACAGGTTCGGCCCAGACAATGTTTGTAACACTGAGTAGAGAGAGAAGTACTATCTATCTGTTGAGCCTTTTGACATCAACTTGTGGCTTCAATCGATGACTGTGTCGATGTTTGTTTAGATAAAGGCGTTGCCTTCTGCAACGATGAAGAAAAATGCGAATTTTCATGAACAGCTCCAAAACATCAACTGCCGGTTCGATGCCTTTCTCATTTTGGCTATAAGATGGAGAATGCAGTGACTAACAAAAGGCGCTTCGTACACAATATCTTTTGTGATTTTTAAAACAAATGTTTAAAGTGAAAATTTACAACAAAAACTTCTTTACGCTACCTTTAATTAAGAATAGTTGCACTTTTGTGTGTAGTGGAAGAGGGTTGGTGCGGTGTCCAAAGAAATTGAAGAGATTTTTACAAAACGCAGATGTGAAAACTTTTCTTGCGAAATTGTTTCTTAATCCAGTAAATTAGGGGAAAAAAACCTTCTAAGTAATTTTTGGTTAAAAAGTTTTTATAACTGTTGGAGAAATGTTGTTTTCGCAAAGGTGATGATTTGTTTTTATGGGGAATATACTTACAAGTAAGCAATCGCTTGGTAAGCGACCAATTGCTTACTGCAAAATACAGAAAAACAGTCCTTTTTTGCATAGTGAGGTGTAGCCCACCGTTATATACTGTACATCACCCTAAAGTTATTTATAAAACGTCGTCAGTCAAGTCGAAGCGTTAGTCTGACATGAATCATTTTCAGTAGCGGTCGTGCCAGAGGTTGCCTTGTGGGTTGAACACAAGCAAACAAGACGGACAGACGGACAGACAGGCTTAAATAAATTCAGAAAGTGATTTTTAAACGATCGGTATAGTGGAAGTTGGATCTATCGCCATTCCTTCTCTTACATCGTCCCTTATAGAACTTTGCATCAAAGACGGTATAGAGTATAATAAGAGGAATTCTTTTATATTTATGTATGAGAGTGTGGAAAGATAATTTAATTTCAAAACACAAGAAATAGAAGTTTTACGACACTAAAAGAATAACAAAAAAAAAAAAACGAATGAGATAAGAGAAAATAGTTTAAAAAAAGGGAAAAAACATTTTGCAGAAAGGACAGAAGAATAAAATCGATGTCCAGTTACTACAAAAAATACATCTCTGACTTTATTTAGTTTCCGACAACTTTTCCGGTTAGCATCGTGAATCATTAGGGATCGATTTTCTAAATTCTTGCATGAAGAAGATCCATATTAGTCACACATATGGTATAAAAAAAAAAGATGCGTTTTTTCTTGTTGCAAGCAAACAAAATTTGGAATGACTAGAATGTACAGTAGGCACCAGTAGTATTGAATGATTTTGAAATTGAGCGAGAAGATAGAAAATTGCACAATTTTTGTAACAATCGCTGCCTTATCGTTAAACGGGGGAGAGAAGAATGAACAGTGGCGTGAACATTAGCTTTCACTTTTATACTTAGCTATTTAGCGAAAATAGTTGAAAAGGAAAGTGAAAGTAAGTGAACAAATTTTTCATCTAAAGACATGGGAATGATATTGAAATTCGTTTTGCTGGTGCGTTTGTGGGTGTTTAGGTTCAGCGTAGAAATTGAAAATCGTGTTATCGTTAATTGCATATTAATGGTTTAAAAATGTACCTCATTTGACACGCGTATGTATTCATCGTCGTTGGGTTGTTTCGGTGTTACGGTCAGCATAGCCGTGTAAGCTTTCCGTGCACGTTCATTATTTTCCCTCGTATCCTCTTTATCGTACCAAGGCTGCGATGTTAATTGTGGAGCTCTATAAAAGTTGAAGAATTGATAATTATTAAACACTGGTTACTTTTTCTTAAGTATTTTGTATCTTCATGAGCTTTTTGCCAGGCTATGTCCCAAAAATGTCCTTCTCAACTTTAAACATTTTATATTGTATTTTTCTTTATGAAACATTGTATTTTCTTTAGCAACTCAAGGACGAAAAGTCCTAAAAAGGGGTAGTCGGAAGCGTTCACTACGTGGCAGTGAAGAAAGGTTCCCTATAATATGGAAAGGGTACTCGCAACCTAGACTTAAATTTCACGTCGAGTGTTTTGCGTTTAGTTGCATTAATGTGTTTTGTCTGCATATACCTCCAATTCCCCTAACCTGGCTTATGTCATTTTCTATGATTCAACTTGAACGCACCTCTTCTCTTCAGTTTCATATCCATGTGTTCGTAAAAGTACAAAATTGTTTTTTAATTTATAAATAAATTATTATTAATGTGGGAAATCGCCAGCAGATAAGGGAGACATGCACGATTACACACATACCGTGAATATCGCATTAGTGATCGCGTAACGAATGCGTGAGTTCATAGGTGTGCCAATAAATTCTTGGTATTATTTGATAACATTATTAACATTTATAATCACTATCTATGGTCTTTAATCTGATACTGGTTGATTTATTCTCGACATGACTGCATCGATCTGAACAAGTGTTAATTAGAAGAAGCAAGATCTGGAAAATAAACTGCAAAGGGAAGAAAGTCATCGCCCGAGCTGCATATCACTTTCTTGGTCGCTTTTGTTGCATGCAAACGAGTTTATTCCATGAATTATTGAATTCCTTTGCCCGAAAATTGTTTGGCTTGGGGTTATTTCGAAGGGAACGGACATGTGAGACACGTTTTATGAAGCAACCAGCATCAACACATTGGAACGGACATGTCAGATACGTTTTATAAAGCAGCCAATATCAACCCAGAGAGTGTATTGACATATCCAATACTATAGCTAAGTCCTCGTGTTTACCGTCCCCTTCATAGAAAAGGGGGAAATTTTACCGATTTCATGTTTTTTTTTTGATTTTCTTTATTAATATTGAGACTGGGCCACATCGGTACTAAGACTGAGCTGACTGTCGATACTTGGCAAACAGCAAATTAGGAGGGTTTCAAAATACATTCCTTGATTATGTTTGGGAAGTGCATGAACCAGACGATGATCATTGAAACTAAATTAATGGACAAGAAATAAATGAATAAAACCATGGCATCTGGGGCTTCGAAAAGGCAACAGAAATAGAAACAAACGAAAAATGTCTCCAATTGCAATGAGTGGGAGTTTGGTGTTTCGAAAGCTCGTGAAAAATTTCCGAAATAAATTTTCAATCACAATTAGTGAGAGTTTAATCCTTTTCTTTGCCTTGTTCATAGTTTCGAAAGCCCTTAAAAATTATCCGGAAAATGTCTTCAATAAAACTGAATGCGAGTTCGTGGCTTCTTTTGGTGCGACGATGTAATTGCGAGTTGTTTTCTCGTAAATCCTGTGGGTTTCAGGGTTACTGTAAAGGGATCACATTATTGAACGACATTCACCGAGTTTGTCAGGACGGAAAGGTTTTCGCATCGCAAACGCATGACACCCGCCTTTCAAACAGCTCGTGAAACAATTGCTTCGCTGATTTAAAATGATATCTGTTATTGAAGACGCCTTTATACCCAAATTCGCCTCATTTTCAAATTTAAAAATTCAAATTTATCTTACGTTCCCATTGGTAATTTTGGTAATTTTTATAGCCTCCATAAAGACTATGGTTCTACAGAGACAATGATTATGTGGAGATTAACAAAAAAATCGCTTGACTGCATATAATCTTACATTAAATTTTTTTAAATTCATTTTTTCAAGTATAATGACTCTTATAAATCATTTGTCTCTTTCTAATAGCAGTAAATGTATTTGACTCTAATTAGTAGTCTTTGAAGTTAAGATATCAATGGAAAAAAACTTGTGCTTAACAATTTCATGTAAACAATAAAATTAATAATAATAGCATGAAAGTTTATTAATAGCATGCGGATATTAGATCATTAAATATTAAAATATATATATATATATTTCATCAAAATCTGAGTAATTTTTGAAAAAACGAAAAAAATCTCACCTTGAAAATAATTCAATATTTATGAAGACATATTCACCGCTATCGATCATATTTAACTCTTCGGCGGTTAGCATGATCTTACGTATGGATTGCGGATCCGCGCACATGATTACAACTGTAAGAATAAGGAGAAAAAGTTGGGGGAATAAATAAAATTCAATAAATAATAAATTTTTTCTCTTTAAATAGCAAATTTTTTCTTGTTTTCTTTTATTCATTTTATATATAGTTTATTAATATATTTTTTTATTTTTTTTTTTTTTGTAATTAATTCTCCATGGGCATAATAAATACTTTTAGTCACTTTAAATTAGTTGCATTCAGTGTAGAAAGCAGGAAAGAATTTTAATTATTTTAATTACATGTAAATTGAGTTGTTTTCATACAAATTCTATTTGTCTTCGATTTTCTATTTTTAAGCATATTTTTATTCGCTGCATATGAATTTTTATTGTTCTCTCCTATTTATTTCATTAAACAGTTATCTTGTGCATAGACGACCCCATAGAGTTTGTTTCAGGTTTCTTTTTTCGTCTGTGCTTGAGCTTAGAAGAACGAGTGTGCTTTTCAGAATTAGAATTTTTTCACTTTTAATTTTAGGCTTTACTTTGGCAATTCGGCTTTCAATTATTCATCAGAGTTGAATTTCGAAAAAAGTCATACGTAAGGGAAACGGAACTCTAATAGGTTGTGGCGTCTCCCTGAGGTTTGCACACTTTACATTAGATTAGTTCATTTCATTCACTACTACTTTTTATACCATACTTGTTTTATATGTGCACAACTGTACCAATTGCTTTTAGTTTGTAGAATACAACTCTGTCTACTTGAGTCAAGTAGATGAGAAAGTGGCATTATAAAGTAATCGTGATTTATACACGGCGAGGAGCAAAATAAGACGAGAGCTGGAACTCGCAGTCAATTCTATGTTTACCTGTTACCGCACTTTTAGCAGCAGTGCCTTTTTTTTCTTTTAATAAATTTCCTATGTACGATTTTTTCTTTTCGATTCTTGGTCGGCTTCCCATCCAAAATGATTTGCTTCCTTTTTTGTCATTTCGAAAGCACAATAGCCGCTGGATATATTAAGCTGTACATTATTCTCATCCTTTTTAACATTGTGAACAAAAAATAATGCGAATTTTTTATATAATGTTCGCAGTTGCTATGAAATCGTGACATTATTTTTTCCTTAGGCTGGTAGTGTTGCTTTTGACATCTCTGGAAAGCTTCTCACAGATGTGTGAGTTTTTCGATTATTACTTCGTCTGGGAAACAATGATTTCTAAGTCTGGCTCTCCTCTCTGCCATGTCATAGAACGAATGAGAGGTACATCTATGCACGCGGTTCGAAAAAACGCGAAAATCGAGCGAAAGTCGTTTGAAAGGAAAACCAAGAGCAAGAAAAAGCGCACCAAAGAGTTCTTTTCCTTCGCCGTGGTCTTGTGCATTACGGTGTTCTTCCTCCAGGCAAAACTATTAACAAGGAATATCATTTGAGTATTATAAAGGCAATGAAGGCGGGAAAGGCGATAAAACCGCGCTTTAGAAGAGTAAACGCAAATATTTCCTCTTTATAGATAAGTTCTCCTTATTTCTATCATATAAAGACTTTGTTACTTCTTGGATTTTCGTTTTTCAGCGTTCAGGATTTTTGAATAGATTTCCTTCTCTTCTAGTTTTTGTTTTGCGCTTATAACGGGCAGCTAGACATATCAATAGTCTTAATGACTTTTAATACAAGAAAGTAGAAAAAGAGGCTTAGAAGCAGTTCATACCAAGCTGATGTGTTTGGCAATTGCTATAAGCTTAGACTTGCTATGCTCGCTCAATTACAATTGTTCGATTTTCATTGATTCGAAGCTTCCAATGTTGCTTAGTTCGTACATCGTTGCGTAGGTGTGAACATTGCATCAACTGCTTTCCTTGCTTTATGGGATCGTATCGTAAATGGATCTATTCCTTCCTTATAGCTTCTAACCTTTTTCGTGTCTTGTCTTTTCTGTGCGTATTTTCTAAAAACTTCCGAAAGTTTTCTATCCCTCTTCTACAAAGTCTTCGTGATTTTTGCGAATACTTTTGGCCTTAAGTGAACATTGCGTTGCATATAATATTAATAAAGAAATCTTCACCTTTTGCATCTATTTTGCGTAAAGTTCACTCATTCATTAAACCATGATTTTTGTGTTATTTTAACTGTGAATGGTGAGCAATTCATCCCAACAATAATATTTACCTAAACGTATGTAAAACTCACTCTGTAATAATATTACAAAGTAAACAAACGATTTTGCTGTTTGTAGATGAAATATTTTTAACACCTGCCTGTTAATACGAAAGCGCGAAAATTTATTCTCTTCATTTGCATTCCTAAGAAATATGTCAATATTTGCGAATAATAATAAGATCAAATAAGAAAACAATAACAAGTCGACCTGGACTGAATTTTTTTTTTGATAACATAGTAGATAGTGGGCCCGTCATTAAGTACGCTACATCACTTTGCTTAATACAGTTATTCATATAACGACTTTTCACAATGGCGCATTATATGGAAAATAATCGAAAAAGTGGTTGGGCCAAAGCATGCCGGTGCACCTAATTTCCATCAAATTAATTCAAAAATGGATACCTTTAGCATGGACACGGGAATACAGATGAAAGGAACTGGCCGACAAGGTTAGGAATCTTGTGTAAAATGTAATTCTCAATCGATTGGCACAACAAAAGATGAGTCTATTACAAGTCCTTCACAAATTTAATGTATTCTTGCCATAAAAGTCGTGTAGGGTATAAACATACACACACAAGGTGACGCTTGTTCTTATGCCAAACATAACGCAATGGATCGAAAGGACACACGGGCAAGTAAATTATTATCTCACCCTGTTCCTGAGTGTTCATGGCTGCTTCCGGAAGTACGTGAACACGTGCGGGCACCATAGTTCGCCAAACTGCCCGGAATGCGTGCAAAGAAGGCAAGATGCAGAGCACGCTATATTTTACTGCAAAAGGTTCGAAAATAGTAGATCCCAAGTGGAATACAATGAGGTATTGCTGGTGATAACCGACTTTGTTAGGCGAGTGCTCCAAGAACTACGGTGCTTAAAAAGACAGTGAGTGAAGAGCAGAGGAAGTGGAAGCCAGTAATGTATCTTACTAAGGTCCCACTATAGGAGGTGGACTAACTGCAACCAGTCTCTGCGATGTAATACTTAACGCGCAGGAGAGTTGTGGACGAATTGTGTGTGGGCGGTAGTTTAGCAGTAGTGTCTTTCGAAGTTTTCTACCACCGGGTCGTATAGCGAAGAGACATACACACGCAAACACATTCTTACACTCTTTACAGTGTCGTAGGCTATTAATCACTTAAACAGTTAACTCTGTCCACCTCTTTGGTAATATATAGGTATACTTATTAAACACAAGGTGTGTAATGTGCAATTATATTGAAATGAAACGATTTGACAAAATGACAAAACTATTTTTTAAAATATATATTATTGTGGCACTTACACATTCCTTATGATAAAATTTTGTAAGTAAATCCGTGAAGAACGAATGAACCGATCATGATGTATATGTTCGTCATGCAGAGTTAATTGGTTAAATGAACTTTTTTATCACTGCGGAGCAGTCATATAGCATATGAGTTGGCAATTGTATGACGGAATAAGCCAGAAGGGTGCATATCAAACCGTCAGACTCTTTCCAAATTACGATTTGAAAGAGGATGAACTTTGGTCGATTGTGTAATGAAAAGGAGGCGTAAATGTCCGGACGGAGTTACGAAAGTATATGCCCTAAATAAATTTTCCGGAAGAGCACGAGAGAGAGAGAGATAGAGAAGTTCAGTTTAGCTCGTATTATTATTGTGGAAGTGGGAAAAGTGAGCCTACGAAAGTTTAAGTTAAATGAACAGACACAGACGCAAATAGACATATCCGTACAAAATTGACATTTCTAAATGTTGCAGAAAAGATTTTTGAAAAAATCTATCTCCCCGCTTTTGGAGAATAAAATTCATGGTTTGGCATATTTTGTGTTGATAATCCCGCACAAATGTCGATGAAGGGATAAACAATTGTTTATGAGTTTTTTATATGACTGCGTTGATAAATATTTGTCGTTTATTTACTCCTACAATCGTTCATAAGTTTTCTAAACAAAAATGAAATGAAAAGTAAAGTGTTCTCGAAAGTTTAAAGTTTTCTTATCAAAGATTTTTATTAAAAATATTTATTTATTTTTACCCAAATAGTTACTGTTCGTATAAAGTAGTATTTGCTGAAATTAAAAAATATTTTATTAAAAGAAAAAAAAGCTCAGGTGTGGACAGAGAAAATTGCGTATCAAATATGTTGAAGCAAAAATTTTTAATTTAACTTTTACGAAAAATATTCTAAATTATTAATATTTATAGATTTTTCTAATTTCGTAAACATACACCACCGCAGCTTGAACATTGTTATGCATATTTAATATTATAGTTTTTTTTTTGCAATCGCATGTGGGCAGGTAAGTGAGCGCATACTACACCGATAAATTTATCGTCCCTTGTGTTTGTTTGCTTGTGTTTTTTCGCCTATTATTAGATACCGATTACGTATTTTGTAAGTGTAGGGTCTTTCGATGAATGGTGTAATTTTAGTTTCCGCCATTGCGTGTCATTACGTCGACATTTGCCAAATCAGAAGTACTAGGATTTCAGATAAGAATCGCTATATGTTCACAGATGTGAGCATTGGGGTCACATGAACGATACTTTGATCTTTTAAACGAAAGTATTTCGCGTAATGCGGTCTTTATGTTCATCTGCCCGGCTACATGGATCCGAGGCCCCTTTTTGAGTTGGTTTGGTCACATTTTTTTTCCTTCGTTAACTTTGCTGATGATTGCAATTAATGCTGTGGATATGAACGACATTTGGTTTCAGCAGGAAAGCTGCATTTGCCGCTTAGCTTCAGCAATAATGGCTTTACTGCGTGATTGATTCAAAAAGCTTCTTATGTTGAGAAGATCTGCATACGATTCCATTGTATGTATAATACGTGGAGCAGGTGGATTCATTCTATTGCAGCGTCATATACTTAAGCCCACATGATAAGATGCCATGTAAGCGTAGTCAGTGTAGTGCATAACAGAAGCAAGGTTAGCTGAGCATTTTTGAGCATTGAGTTGAGATTGAGTTTGAGATTCAGCTCCTGCGACCAACGATTTAATGGAGTTTTCTTATTAAAGCTGAGGAGAGGATACTGTTGGATGCTATTCTGTTGCTGTCAAAACGTTTCGAATACGGCATACATGCGGCATACACAATGTACAGGCCTCGGATGCTTAATGTTTGCTTTTGATCATTACTTATTAAAATGCATTATTGTTATGTCCACATAAAAATGTGATTATTATGTGAGACAAAAGAAATTTGTCCCGCGCTTTATGACAAATGAAGAAATATTGACCGTTAAATATATTTACATCTCATGTAGCCATCTAGATGTACGTTTGTATGGATACGCGTATACATTGTATAAGTAGATATGTACGTGTGCATATGCGAATATGTAAATATCGTAGTAGTAGACCTGTACGGTTTGCTATTGTTGTCGTCGGCGAAAGAATGAAAATGCATTACAAAGCCAGCTAAAAAAAGAACGTGCCAGAGAAGCTACAATGATTTATGCCGTCAATAATGCAGACAATCCGTCTGCTTAAACGTTTGCATGTTTGCGTTGTCAATAAAATTTTCGTGATGCGATGTAAATTAAAAAAAATTTGCATACATTTTCAAAATTCACATATTGTTGTTCATTTACTTTAATTGAATTGTTTAAGGAAAAATTATATTAATTTTTTTTTTTTTTTTTTTTTTTTTTAAATAAAGTAATTGGCGATAATTTGTTATATTTTTTTTTTAAATTATATATTTATTCTTTTAAAGGTCTATGAATCATTTAAATTTGCACACAAGGCGAATGAATAAAAGTTTTTAGCTAAACTCTCGAAGCTCTGATAGAGTCGCCAGTTAAGAGCATTTCGATGCGGGTTTATAACAAGAAAGGAGTAAATTTCTTACATATATTTTCGCTTTTTCCAATAATTCATGTAAATCTGTGTTCATTCTATATATAATTGAACTGTTATTCTATGTATAAAATCATTCACTTCATTGACTCTACTTATTGGATGTTAAAGGTGTACATTAAATGTAACAAAATGGTTTATATACATTTATTCCCCCCATAGAGGAGTTGACTTTGGCACCCTTACTCCTTACTCGCCTCTATGAGAAAATTATAAGATGAATGAGACTTTTCCCAAATGTCCAGCTTCTTCGTCTTCCAGACAACTAGCGAGTCTTCCGGACAACATCTTGCTCTTTTTCACAACACTCTATCAGCGAAAAAGTTAAAATTATATGCTCAGCTAAGTCCTTAATCCACTTTACATAATTTTTTCCTCATCTTTGCATAAAAAAAAATTATACCTCATTCACATCATTGTTTTTATCATGCTAACGCTAAAATGTAGACCTTCTCTAAAATATGGTGCTTCTATACTTTTCATGAGCAAAAACTTTTATATGGAAAGAGTTTCTAACATAGACTTGTATAGTCCAAAATATTTTTGTAATTAGATTTTATAAAAGTATCTCTTTTTCCCGTCTAAGGGTTTAGTTTTCTTGAGAAAAATGAATGAGATGAGGGAATGGGCTCTAAAGACAGTCTTAAGTGATCGAAACTTATTGCAGCGAATTTATATTTTTGTCAATTTTCAATTTGTGTCAATTTTCATCACTTGATTGAGATTAACTCGTTTCCATGAGAAAACGTTCTTTGCAAGATTCTCTCTCAAGATTAGCTCTCTTTGCAGTATAAGGATTTACTTTTCATGCAAAAGTTCCCTTATATGGAAAAGGATTTTAAAATAGGCCTTTTCGGCCCGAACTTAATCTAGTAAATTTCTATAAATCAGCTCTTTTTGCCATATGGAGACATAATTTACTTTAATAATCCATATCTTGGATCGGGGATTAAGAAATCATCTCGTGGCATCCAAATTTTTTACTTTTGTTTTGTTTATCTAATGTAAAGTACACATAGGGCCACTCTTGCTTGACGGTAAAATTTCTCTTTGCCTCCAATTCCGTAGTAATTATACTCAAAAAAAAAAAAAAAAAGGCAGCTGCATATAAAATCTCGGAAAAAAAATTTTGATTTGAAATTACATTTTAAAATCAATTCTCTTTTCTTTCTTTTTTTTTCAATTTTTCAGTAGAAGAAATTCTATATTTGTAACTAATAAGAAGTTTCTTAAGGCATTTTTTTATTCCCATTGTATTTGTCTTTGGCTTTCTTTGAGAGAAAGAGCAGTCAGTAGGTTTGATTGTTTTGAACCGGATCGCCGTTACCTAATTACACTTCATAGAAAAAGAAACCTTTCTACTTACTTCTTGTGTGTTTGGAGACCGTCACCAGCATACGTATGATATCGGTTTTCTTCCATTGATCCGTGTCGAAAGCTTGCTGATAGACTGATGCCTTATGTTCGTTCAATTTATCATGGACTACGACAATGCAAAAAAAACAAACCGAATTTCCCTTAATTTTCGTATGCTCGTTTTGATAAATTAATGCTGTTCGCGTCCAATTGAAATTCGCGATTATGGCGCGTACCGCATTACCTAAATTGTTGGCTTGAGCTCCCTTTAATCTTGTTAGTGTGGGATACGAAGTGGCCTTGTTCGAGAAGTCGGCGGCATTGCCACCAGACGTAAGTACAGGTATTTGCCAGACGCCGGCATAACGTGAAATCGGCGCCAATACATACTCGCATGGTAAGCCGAAAACAGCGTTCAGCTCGGAAAATTTCATATAAATCTCGAAGAAACCAATGGGACCATGAATTGATGAACAATTCGTATCGCGTGATATTAAAGTGACATCGATACGCGAGCCATGAACGAAACCTAAATTTTGAATGTGTTTGATGGCTAACTCGAGTACAGGCAAAACCTTGGGCATAATACAATCGTTTTTGTTCTGTTGCTCGTGACTCGGCAGCAAAGCAACAAAGCTTAAATTTTTATAGTGCGACATCATGTAACTTGGATCACTGTTATACCGGTCCGGGTTAGCAGGAAAGTATTGCTCCGATTCCGAGGCAGCCATAGGATCGAGGGATTCAGTTTTCTGCAAACAGTTGTTCGATAAAGCCATGCACATGTTGCTGCTGCTGTTAACAACCACTAGCAACATAAGAATGTTTGCAAATTTCTCGTTTTTAAATAATTTCATTTTGTTCATATATATATATATATATATATATATGTTGTTGTTGTTATTATTATTATTTTTCTATAATCTGTAGATATTCACTTTGATGAGAAGTCTACCCCGTTTTTATTGATTTCTATTTAACAGTTACTCTGTTTTTAAATTTTATTTAGAATATTTTTTTTCTTTTCATGATTTTATATTTTTTCACTGCACTGCACTTTTTAGTAAAAAAATGTTATATATTTTTTTGTTTTTTGTACCGCTTTTGTTCTTCTCCTTTCCGAAGTTAGAAATGTTGCAATTTAGCCGAGTACATGATCTATTTTTCTAGCTAGTTGCAGTTACGTGGATCAATAATTTTTTTTTAGTACTTTCTTTAATAATAAATTTTATAAACTCATTCAATTTTTCTTATTCTCATTTTTTTGTTTAATCTATTTTTTTGGTTTATTTCTCACAAGCATAGAATGCGAGTTCAGTGAGTTCAACATTTATTGAAAAAATCTCATAAAACCAGTTCCTTCGAATCATGTTTCTGAAGCGGCAACAAAAAAAAGAATTATTGTCTAACACCAGCGATAAAATGATATAACATTCAGGTAGACTTTGAAAGAACCCTTTTACCCGTTGAGGCATATTTTTCATATCAATCACTCGCTGCAACATGTTGACGGTTAGAAAGAAATGAAGACAAGGAAAGGGATATGTGGATGATGGCCGTAGTCTACTAAGTATGTGTGTATGTAGGTGTTACGCTTTTATCAACTACGCTTCCCATTACTGCCACGATCAAGATGAAAATTTTGAATGGGTTAAAACAAAAATTCATTTCATATCCAGAAAAGATAAATCGAATTCAAATTACTAATGAAAATTAATTATGATTTTTTTATTCATAAAAGTGTTCTTTCTTTTTTATGGCTTTTTTTTCAAAGGTCCCATCACTAAGCAAACTATTTGCACATTCGCCATATGCGTCGAATTGCTTTTCATTTATATGAATCATATGATAATAAATTAGGCTCGTATTTTTTTTTTTTCTTGTTTTGCACCCATCACCCAAGGATGAGGGGTATGTTAATTTTGTCGAAATGTTTGCAACGCGCAGAGGGAAACTTTAAAGCCCCACATAGTATACGTTCTCTTGATCAGCATCAAATTGCGAGTCGATTTAAGCAAGTCCGTCTGTCTGTCCGTCCACGTAATGCCCACTGTTAACATCGTTTGAAATTTGGAAAAGCATTGCAAGTTAGTGCACGTAGGTTGGTCGAAGGGCTTGCCCACGGTATCTGCGGCGCGCTGAAGCAATCACCAAAAATTCCAAAGTAAAGTATAAAAATTTTTGACCACTTTCAAATTCGGAATACACTGCCGCATGTTCGTCCGTTTGTCTGTCCATCTGCCCTTCCGTTTAACTGTGTACGCCCACCCGATTGCGCAAAGTAAGATAATGCCAACAAAATTGGAAAAAATATTCAAAAATGAGTTAAACACGTCCACAACGACCGGAGACCTATGCAACAAAAATTGTGAGTATCTTTCCTATCCGGGTGTTTTCCTTGTTACTCGCAAGGTGCAACACATACACTGCATAAACTTTCGCTTTTATTCTGAAAATCAGAAGAGTCAGCTATGTCCTCCCAGTAATATGGAGAAAGATATTTAGTTCGTTTCCCTTTTTTAAATCTAATTTAGAATAACGGTGATGGGTATAAGAGATTCGGTAACGATCGAATAAAATTTTCTTACTTTGTTTTTTTCTTTTTCTTTTTTGTGTCTACATGTGCATATGAGTTGTGTGGCGTTTGTATTTATGTGTTTGTGTATTAATTGACTTTAAATATAATCTTATAATTTATTTCGTTTTACTCTATATTTTCTTTTGAAATGTATGTTTTTATATGTCGACCTTCACCTTAAAAATAAGTCGAGTAAAAGAATTTATATTTTGTACACAATAAATGCGGAGACTGTAGAGTTGACTGTACATTTATGACAGCGTGACGCGAGCCGGACGCATACCTAATTAGAATGCTGTTTTTCTTTGCGGTGTTGATTAACGCAGATAAGATGCGTTATTTTCTTGATCGATATACGTCCTACAAGCAAAAGTAAAGAAGATTTTCAAATTTAAAATTTTTGTCTTGAACAGAATTTGTTGCCTTTTTTTTTTTTTTTTTTTTTTTTTTTTTACTGAGAAAAAATAGAGAAAGAAAAAAAAGCGACTTGTTGGCACGTCGCGAAACCTTTTACGCTTCGCCTTTTTCTTAAGAAGCTCACGAACAGACCAAAGTAACTTTGTTTTAGTCACTTGATCCTAAGTTTTAAAAAATATTTACGATAACTCCCCAGAGATTTCCACAGAGAAATATGGTCTTTTGCAAAGTTAAAGGCCATAACGCTCCTTTCCTTTTCCATCTGTCCTTTTGTCTTGTACGTTTTTTTTGCGGGTACATTAGCGCAAAAAAAGAGACAGAGAAATAGAGTGGGAGAGAGAGAGAGAGAGAGAGAGAGAGAGAGAGAGAGGGGAGGAAGGGGTTTTGAAAACAAGCAACCCACAGGTAACCGTGTTACTGATAAATGTACGAATTTTTTTTCAATTCATTTATTTTTGGTTTAAGCCTCTAAATCGAAAAGACTGCATGAGTTCTTAATATTCATCTCAGGCAGCAAAATTAATAAACAAATCTCTGATGAAGCTCTAGCAGTGAGAAAGATGAAAGGTCTGCTGACCTTGGAAGCATTTGAAAATTTCTGTTTTAGTCATTTATTTATTAAACTTTTCATATCGTTCAACGTTGATGACGTCTAACTTGTATGAGATATTTTTCATAAATTTCTTCTTACTCGAAAAGTGATGGAATGCATTGCGTTCAAAAGCAAGCGATCAGCGATTGATTTTGAAAACTTTAAAAACTTGAATTTATTCAATCTATAATGAATAATTAATTAATTATTAATAGCATCCCGCCATTTGGAGTATTGGGGCATTATTGATTTTGCGTATGAACGCTTCATATAAGAATTGGATGAATGATTTCTTTAGCACTAGAACTATCAATATTTTGCCTAAACGCATATTTGCTGCTAGAGACCATAATGCTCCATGGGAATGTTCATAAAAAACCACTTCTATATTCCGTCCAAAAATCTTTTCATCTTTTCATTTCTTCATATTCTTTTCATATAAACAAACGCCATCAAAAAATATTGAAATTTTACTTGCTTTGCTCAAAAAAGTCCCTTGGAGTAGTCGTAGTTACAATAGTAAACTTTAAAAAAATGTAAAAATCTTCATGTCAGATGTCTCTCATGGTGGCCATTTAGGATCCATATCTTAATGTACGCTGACGATGTTAAACTGTCTGCGTCCTTTTTTACTTGGGATCGTACTCCCAATCCCTCCTTCAATCTGGCCTAGACAACTTGGTTATGTGGTGCCTTCTAAATTTTATGAAACTAACTTAAAAAAAATGTGAGGAGCTTTCATCCTCTGTTCGTTACTGACTATTTCATTGACTCGCAAAAATTGGACGAATATAAATTCGTCACTTTAATCGACCATCCGCTTCGTTTTAATGCGCTCGTTGACCTCTCTGTAAATCAAGTTAGGTCATTCCTTAGTTTTATTAAACGATGGTTTAAGGAGTTTGCAAGAAGGCTTTCTATGTGCGCAGACAGACAAAATGAAAAATAGCGAGACACTCTTAAGCCATGCCATGCCGTATTCAAGGAGAAGAAACCCTTTGGTAATAAATAGTTTCTATTAACTACCGTAAAGCATAATAAACCTGAACGTTATATGAATCGTTAAGCTATGTGAGCAACAGGAAGTGAACTTTTGAAAATAATCCATGGTACACGAATTCGAAAGGAGAAACAGCTGTATAATGAATAGAAATAATGCGTGGGTAGTTCAGTTCGTAAGGAGAAACTCAAATGAAAGCGAGAAGCGTAACGAATTATGAAAACAACTTAACCTGGGAATTATGTGAATGTTTATAAATAGTCGCAAATAATTTTCAAGTTTAAATTTATATACACCTTTTACTCTAAATCTACCATTTAAGCTCGATATTGGTTTCATTACGAACTATCAAATCAATTCCCTTAAATACGCGCGCTTTGCTTATGCTTCTAATCTCGACATTTTCATCGTATTCGAAAAGTGAAGTACATTTTTTCACTGTTATCGGTTGCCAAGCTTTTGCGTGTTTGCAGTGGCTTGGGGGTTCACCTCTAACAAGGATTTGCGCCGTTTAAGGACATGTCTCTGAGCTAGACGTGTACATGCTTTCCCTTTTTTCCTTCTTTTTTTCTATATCTATATCTATTTATGCATGAATGAATGTTTTTGTCTTTATTCTCTTATTTTTCTTTATTTTTCTTTAATTACTTATTAATCATTAGTAATAAATAACACTTGGCAAAAGATTTATTTCCAAGAGGCAATTAAATCCGGCTGTTATGTTCTACTCTCTAAGTTCTTCCAGTTGATGGCCATATCGCTGGGATTATTAAGACAAAATTGATCCACCAGGTCGCGGTGGCTACCATATACATTTTAGAATTCACCAATTCAGACAATATATCTTCCTTTGAGGAGTGTAACATTTGTTTTAAACATTCCGTCTCATTTGCGTTATGATAAATAAGCATAAAATCTCAAAAAGATGAGGAAAATAGAATTTAATCACTTGTAAATTGTGTGGGCATTTGGGCCGATGTTTTCCATTTTAGCAGTAGAGGATAAAGTAAATGTGGAAAATATCAGTCTTCTAACTTTTATAATTTCTGAGTAACAAATTTTTGCAAAGAAAAACGGAGTTGCGTTCAGTTTATACTGCCCTGCAGGCTTCTGCTCTGATCAATTTGGTTCATTTTCAATGCCAACCTGCGTGCAAAAACTGTTATTGTTTCTACCAAATTTGAAGCCGATTTCGTCAATTTTGCGGCCAAGGAGAGTGCCAACAATAAACACCACACAGACACACAGCCGGGCAGATATGGCTAAGTCATCTCAGAATTTCACGCTGATGAGGAGTAGTATATATATATACTTTATAGGGCCTTTTAAGCTTCCTTCTAGGTGTTACATACATTACGAAAAAAAAAAAAAAAACAAAACGAGTGCGTCTCCATCTACAGATGGGTGGGTACAATGAAATAAATAATAAAATAAATAAATAAATAAATAAATAAATTCCATTCTGCATGTATATAGGGCCCATAATTTAAAACAAAAAATTTCAAATATTTTTATTTTAACCCATTAAGAACCAAAGGCGAGCTATTTGCGAAAATTGCTGGTAGACGCTTTATGTTGTTTATTAAATAAAGAACCGGCTTATGAAACAAAAATTTGTATATGTAAAGAGAAGGTCATCTCAAGAAATAACAGGTGTGTGCGCGATGCACAATAAAATGCAATCTGTACGGTGGTCAATAAAAGTTTAGAGCTTTACAACTGTTATTGAGACAGAATATAACAACAACAAAAGCATACTATCTTACTGCATTATAACTTTATTATAG